AGTAGACTTCCCAAAGAAGTCTACAGTTTTAGACTTCTTTCTGAAGTCTACTGCAGCTTTCCGAAGTTTTATGAATTTTTTAATTTTTAAAAAACTTTAGTCAAACACTAAAATGACCTATACGTTTTTGGTCAAACTACAAAAGTAACTCAAAAGTAGACTTCTTGTGCAGACGTAAACAGTAGACTTTAGAAAGAAGTCTACATTAAAAAGTCAAAATACGGTCAACTACAAAAATAACCTCTTTTCTTTCGTAGACTTCTTAAGCCTTCAAATGAAGTCTACTATGCTTTTTTTTGTTTTCAAAGGATATCGAGTAGACTTCTCGTGAGGTTTAATGAAGTCTACTTTTAAAAGTCAATTGCAAAAATAAATTATGTTGACTAATAGACTTCAGTATACTTCACGAGAAGTCTACTTTCGCAATATGAAAACTGAAATATGGAGAAATTGAAGTGCGATGATTACCTTTAACAAAATTGAGCTCGGCTACAGTTTTTTTTAAGCACCCAGAACTCAGGATTTTACCAAAAATAAGCAACCCAGATGTTAAGTAACCAGAAATCACCAAAAATGCATGACTTTTGGCATTGTAACTTAGCCCAGATGTTTTTGAGAAGAAATTATGAAAGAATGAGGAAGGTTATGAGTGAATGAGCTCAAATCTTTACTTATTACAGCTTTAAAATTGGTTGAGAAGCATTTATTTCATTTTCATGGTTGTTCATGGTGGTTGAAGAAATTGAAGAAGATGACATTCTCGTAATAAAAAGATTTTTAGAAGGTCCAAGGAGACTTTAGCCAAATTAAAGAAAAATCGAAATAATAGATGTATAATGGCATTTTCGTTAATAGTTTAAGTGGGAAGGATAAAATTGTGAGGAAATGGCAAAAGTTAGAAAGAGAAAAAAAAGAGGTTAGTTTAGTGTTTGACTCTGAAATATGGGTTAAATCTCAAATTCTCCCTAAAAATAAATGACAATATGAGTAAAATCCAAAGTATTGCTCCCCTATCGATAACAAATAAAACAATGTCGAAAAGCTCTGAGAAATAAGACTTTTACGAACTGTTACTTTTAATGCAGATGATAAACCTCATGTATATAGTAAGAAAATTATCAATTTCAGAAAAAATGTTTCTAAACTTGTTATAAATGATCGATGTTGATGGACGAGATATGGATGAGTGTAATATTTAGTTTATTTCCTTCCATACATGGAGTAAATAAAACATGAATTCGTTCAAATAATCTGATAAATGTCAAAAATATTTCCGTTGTTCCTCCAACTAATCTACATAACCATACTTTCAAATCAGAGCAACACGGTCATGTTCAGAGGCGAATTCAGTTAATTTAATATGGGGCACATATTTTTTTTAGTAACTGATTTTCAGACTTCATGAATTTTACATAGATTTCACATACCTCCACCACGATCTTGAGCGTTTTTTATTTTCTCAGCTTTGGTGCTAATATCTTTTTTTTGGGTGTTAATATCTTTGCAGAGGCTTCTTCCTGACTTCTCAGAAGAATTTGTTGTCTCTTGCTTTCGATGTGCGCTGAATACTCGATCATTCTGTAACTCTCGTTTTCTTGTTTCTGATTGCATTCAGATCCTTATCATCATTGGATTGAAGATAGACATGTTGTTTACCATCAGCCCCACGCAGGCCTCGAACTCAACCAAGAAACTGATGGCTGGAAAGGATTTTACATCGAGAGAATCATGAAGCTCTAGCCTATCGAGACTTGTAAAAACTCTTTAAAATGATTCTTGATTGAGTTACGAGTAATGCACATGAAGCCATGAAATGGGTTACGAGTTACGACTAGTGAGCCCAATTCATCATGTCAGATGCATACAAAATTACAAATACAAAGAATATGTCAGACGACCCATTACGAAAAAAACACAACGGCGTATAGTCTATAGATTGAGTCAGCACAATCATTACTCCTTTGAGTTTCCCATTACCATTTTGATTAGGCCCAACTCAATAATTTCTACAACATTATCTCAAACAGCGACTTTCCTTTTTTAAATGAGATTTTTCTTTTTACCTTTTGGGCCCTTCGGCTACCCTACGATGTTGCATCCTACAATCATTTCAGTTTTACCATATAGTTTTCACATCTACATATTAATATATTATTTATTTGATTCAGATCTCATAAATAGTACATATATATACGGCATGAAATACTGGTGACGTTTACTGGAAATCTTGAAACATTTTTTAACAAAAAAATGAAACTTCTAAACTATTAAAACTATAAAAATCTCGACGAAGATCTTCAAATGCATTGTACCTAGCAATTGCGGTGTTTAGTCGTAAAGTAAGATTATATTATTTAATTTGCTGAAAGAGTGTGGTCAAATCAATTAGTGAGCTAATTTGCATGAATATAGAATATGCTATTTGTATATTAAGAAAGTTTCATACACACATGCACATTTTTTTCTTTCTTTTAAACTTTATTTCTCCTATATTCTTCCTCCCAAATGGGATACGATTTTGAGTTACAACGAGAAGCAAAGAGAATACAACAAGAAAATTACATCAAAACAAGGGTAGAATAATAGCGAGAGCAAATGAAGCAGATGAGAAGTGGAGCCAACCGACATCACGGTCCAATTTCATACACGCATGCACATTCATGCAGTAGTGGTATCTTTTAAACCGTGTTATATTCTTGCGAGGGTGGCATAATTAAGTTGTTGAAGCTCCACACTCCTGACTTGAATCCAGCCCTAATAATATACGTTTTGAGCCACCTTACCTATAGGATTTGATTGAACTTCTACTTAACCGATTATTACTTTATACAATTTTATCCCAATATTTATCATCTCATGATCCTTTCTAATTATAAAAAAAAAAAACGATTTCCTACTAAGAGAAATCCATTTTGCAAAGTTTTATTTTATGATGATCTATTTTTAGTTTTTTTTTTTACAAATATATTCTATTAAGATGTAGACATTGTAATTTTGAAATTTGGATTCGAAATTTTGAGTGGGAGGATTAATTGTTTTATATGATTTATCATTTAATCATACCATTAATTTTACTAAAGCATGTGTAAATTCCTGTCAAAAGCTCAATAGTACGGCACACTTTAACATGATCGATGCCCACAGCCCCATATTTTTTTTTTAACTCACATATTTAAAGTGGTTGTTTCTCATTACAATCAAATATTGTCTATTTATCAGACTTTGACTTCTAGATAGACAGCCAGTATCACGATCTACGTCACAAAATTGTCAAAGTAATTAAGTATGAAATATTACGAAAACGAAATATTGTAGAAGATCGTAGAAAAAGGTAGAACATAACTTTGTATGGGTCCAACTTATTGGCACTTATTTAGGTTTTGTCGGTAACAAAAAAGAAACAATCAAATGAAAACAACTTTTTTTTTATTAGAAGTAAAAGGGTTACCCATAACATATAACTGCAAGTCTGCAATCGTGGAACATGTTAACCACGATGACGAAATTAATTGGATCACCGAAAAATAATTTTACAATTACTTTCGTTTTGTAGTAATTAATGCATACTTTCTATTTTAGTATTTCCACATTTTCCAACTTTTCCCTATTAATATTTTTTTCAAAAAAAAATTACGTAAACAATATTTTACGACTAAACACCACTAATTCTTTACTCGATTAGTAAGGGGACAGAGAGATACTCTCGAGTCTCGAACAACGATTTTAAACCTCAAGTCGTTTCTAACAAATAACTTTCAATTGTATGGTCACTGGCCAATTTTTAAAATTATGTCTTGAAGCTCTGATAAGATACTAAGGAATGGTCCTAGCTATAAGCACGCAAGTGGCCATGTTGGATATGTTTGTGGTTAGAGTCGTCAAAATGTACATATAGAACACTTTCTAGCTTTTGTTCGTGTTCATAAATAAACCATACTTGAATATAATATTCTTTGTTAAATGGCTTGCTACTTGAATATAATGTAGTCTAAATAATGCAATCGTGCTGTTTTTCTTCCTCTGACTCCGCAGACTATTATAAGAATTCAAATAAAAACAAATTCTCAATAAACAACAAATGTACAGTTTTGGAATACATATAGATCATATGTTAGAGTTTTGACACATATATGAGGATATTCCAAAGAGTTTGCACATATTAGCTTGATCATACTCGCCACTTTCTAGCTTTAGTTCATGTTCATAAAACTATATCATCTTTTAAAATAGTTGAAAATTCAAGAATTTTTTTTCCTCTTTTGATTCATCAAGTTCGCATATTTGATGCTTAAATCGTACAATGAGGTATTTTTCATTATGTCGGGAGATTGACCAAAAGTACAAGACAAGATCAAAATTCAGTTATGAAAAAGTCATAATATTTATCAAAATTATAGTTTATGAATCTTACATGTATTTATGAATGTATCATTTTCTATGTGCTACAAATAAAAGTGATATATTTGACTAACTAACTCAAACGAAAAGAGTAGTAGTAAATTTGTATAGTTGCTATTTCTTTTCTAAGACCAAAAACAAATATCAAAAGTCAAAAGGGATGGCAAAAGAACTGCGTAAAAAAAAAAAAATTGGAGGAAGAAGGAATCAATCAATTATGGCATGTGAGTGAAAAAGCAGTCACTATTCTCTCCTTTTTTACCACAAAGTAGATACTATTCTCTTCACCACCGCCACGACCGAATGACTCTATTTAATTATTTATCACCATTTTCTTATCCGTTTAGTTACAATTTCCTTTTGAAAAGTCCAACATCTTAATACGTCTCACGTGTTTTTTTAGCTATTTATTTTCGTACACCACCCAACTCAAAAGAAAAAAACAAAAGTCAAATCTATGTTCCTCGCTCGTTCCATAAGAAAATAATACTAATAAAACACTTAAATAGGGGCAGGTTTTTTTTTTGCCATATATATGGACAGCTTTACAAAGAGTATACAATAGTATTTGTATTGTCCGTGTTTTGAATTTTTAATAACTGTGAATTTCTGGCATTTCCTTTATATTTAAAGCCCCAACGCCTCCTCTCTCTTCTTCCTAACTTATTCAAACCAATTCACATCTTCCCAAACCCAACTACTACACCTTGTAGCTACGAATATACAATTTCTTTTGTTTCCTCAGCTTCTTTGATCAATATATTCATTTGGGTTCTCGTCAAATTCACAACCTCTTCATTCTTTTTTTCCGGAGGATTTATGGACGAAGAGATCCAGATTCCACCATTCTTCCTTTGCCCAATATCTCTAGAGATCATGAAAGATCCGGTGATAGTCTCTACCGGAATCACTTACGACAGAGACAGCATCGAGAAATGGCTCTTTTCCGGCAAGAAGAACTCGTGTCCGGTCACCAAACAAGACATATCCGACGCAGATCTCACCCCTAACCACACTCTTCGCCGTCTCATCCAATCTTGGTGCACATTAAACGCCTCTTACGGCGTCGAGAGGATCCCAACACCGAGACCTCCGATCTGTAAGTCTGAGATCGAAAAGCTCATTAAAGAATCAGCATCTTCTCATCAAAACCAGGTCAAATGTCTCAAACGACTTCGTCAGATTGTGTCGGAGAACGCGACCAACAAGCGGTGTTTGGAGGCGGCAGGAGTACCGGAGTTCTTGGCCACCATCGTAAGCAACAACGACTTGGAAAATGGGTTTGACTCTTCGAATAGTTTGACCGACGAAGCCCTCAGCTTACTCTACCATCTTGAGACCTCAGAAACAGTCCTCAAGAATCTTTTTAACAACAACAAAGAAAACGATATCGTAAATTCTTTAATCAAGATCATGGAGCGAGGGATCTACGAGTCCAGAGCCTATGCAACTTTGCTTCTCAAGAACATTCTTGAAGTAGCGGATCCAATGCAGATTATGACGCTGAAGCCAACGGTTTTCACTGAGGTCGTCCAGATCTTGGACGACCAGATCTCTCACAAGGCGACGAAAGCCGCGATGCATATATTGGTGAACATATGTCCATGGGGAAGAAACAGACACAAGGCTGTGGAAGCTGGAGCGATCTCTGTGATAATCGAGCTTCTCATGGACGATAGCTTCTCATCAGATAGGAGAGGTCCAGAGATGGCGATGGTGGTTCTTGATCTGTTGTGTCAGTGTGCGGAGGGACGAGCCGAGTTCTTGAACCACGGAGCCGCTATAGCGGTGGTTTGCAAGAAAATATTGAGGGTTTCGCAGACGGCAAGCGATAGAGCTGTTAGGGTTTTGTTATCGGTGGGAAAGTTCTGCGCGACGCCGGCTTTGCTAAACGAGATGTTACAGTTGGGGGTTGTAACGAAGTTGTGTCTTGTGCTTCAGGTTAGTTGTGGAAGCAAGACTAAAGAGAAGGCAAAGGAGTTGCTTAAGTTGCACGCTAGGGTTTGGAGGGACTCTCCTTGTCTCTCAAGAAACATGATTCTTGCATATCCCTCCTGATGAAACCAAGAAAACAACGTACAGACATACAAAGGAGTTCAATTTTCAATGAGTGCAAACACTTTTTAGAATTATTCTTCGCAAATTGTTAAAAAGACTAGTGGTTTACTCCAGTGTAATGATTCAATTTTTTTAGTTTACTTTTTATACTTTTGATGTTCACAATATTAATGTAGATAATAGGGGAAACTGTTCATGAAATTATTTTTCATAAGAAATAAAAACTGGAAAGAAATCAATGAAATCACATGTTACATGGCTATTCTCACTTGAATGTTCATTATTGTGAAAGCGATGTTATATTATCCTTTTCTATAATTTTCCAGAAACAAAGGAGCATGTCATTTTCATCCTTTCCTTTTTTTCTTGAACGAGTAAGTGATTTGTATGTATAAGTTTTTTCAATCAGTTTCTTATGAGTGATAAGTACAATACATATATCAGTTTTAGCATTCAAATTTAGATCAGATTGTTGTAATGTTGTATTTTATAAACCAATCCAACGTACGTTACCGTGTTTTCAATTACAAAGATATCTATGTTTGGTTTTTCACAATCAGAGCACATGGTGTTGGTACATGAATACAAAGGAAAAACAATATATAATATGGTACCAAAAGATAACATAAGAATAATAAAATTATAATAAAAAATTCTTTTTCAGATCGCATCTGGTTGAAATTTTGATTCTTACAGTCATATTAATGTATTTCTTAGAAGAAAAAAGATCGAGATCAGTGTGCTATACTTTTGAGTCGATCGAATCTAATGACTATAATTCTCATTGACCAACGAAATTAAATATAAGAAACGGCTAATTACCACAGGACGGAGTCGAGATCAAGACAAAAATGTATACGTGAAATATATAGAATACTACAGAAAGAGCCACCCAAAACGAAATAGAAACAAAGAAATTGACACCTAAAAATCTGAGTAGCAGGCCAATATTGAACCATACCACCCACCCATATCACATAAAATATAGTTAAAAACAAGTAAAAAATATGCCCGTTATTTTTAAATGGGTGTATCATGTATATAATGAAAAGGAAATAGTGGTCACTTTTTATTTTGAACAAAACATAAAAGTAGTCATATATTGCGAGCAGGTCACAAAATCTAGATGAGTTTAAAAGTACAAAAGTGGGTCCAGACTGGACCACAACTTGTAGCTGTATTTGAACAGTACACAGACAGAATTAAAACTCATAAAAATTCTTCGAGTTGATATATAAATAAAACAGTTGTAATTGTGCTGTCTCTCAACCGTCTCAATTACCTTCTCAACAGTTTTATTTTTTCATAACCGGGATGATCCAATTTCTACCATCCAATAAATTTCTCAAAATGAGTATCATATATATATATATATATTTAGTAGATTGTAAACATAACACCATTACGATTGACCAAATTAAAATGAATAGATAATTTACGCTTAAAAAAATTGATATCTGACCTAATTCTACATGAAAACTTCTTGAGATAAGAATTATTAGCCACTGCCACTTAGTTTACCTTAAGTTCTTCTCCTTCATTCTTATCATTGTTGTTGTCAACTTGTTATTACTAGTAATAAATTGGTGGTAGTTTTTTATTGGTTAGAATTACTCGACGTATTATATTTTTAAATCGAAAGAGCGGTTAAAGTTGTGTAGGAAGAAATTGATAAAAGTAAATGAGTTTGTCCAATAATAAATTCAAAGATAGATATGGTGGGTTCGAACTTCCCCCTCTTGTCTTTGATGAATTTAATTGCGCCATAAAAAATTCACTCAACTCATATTTTTAAATGTATATATTTTTTTTTTTTCAACAATTTTTAAATGTATATATATGTATGGAGTATATTGCTAATTCGTTATTCCCTTTCCATGGGACTTGAGTAATTGTGAATACCGAATTTATTGGTATTTTACCGTCTAGTCTCGTGAACAATACTTTTCGACTTTTCGTATGTATACATTTTGGTGGATGAGGAGAATCAACATATTTGTATTTATTTTCTTATCTAGCTTATAACTGTATATCCATGCCTTAATGTTTTGATCCACATACTCTTTGACGGCATATTTTTATCCATATAAACACTCCAATGACCAATATTGAGGGTTCTTCTATTGTTTGTTTGTGCATGCGTTATATACGCATACATATATCATAAATGTGTGGACCGGACGTGAAGGACCAAACAATTTTGACGCCGCAATTGAAGACTTGTTTCTATTCGATCGTTGTTACGTATTTAACGAGAGATAGAGAGACTTAATTTCACTGCAACGTATGGTTTAAACTTAACACGAAATAAATTCCATGCGATTTTAAAATTAGGTAAATATACAAGGACGTAACAGAGACACGTAAAACCCCCACTCTACGAATATGGTTTAACCTCTGACCCGCTCATGATCCTCGACTATTCATAATAATTTTCTTAAATTCAACTTGTGAGTTTGACAAATCACCAAACTATCGTACGTAGTTTCTAAACCAATCAATAAATTTGCAGATAAAACTGAAATCATTTCTGTCAACCTGTGTCCATATAAATTTACGGACACTGGAAACATTTATTGAAAAACCTAAACTTGGCAGTTTTTGACAATAATAGACAATTGGACATTTTGGCTAGAAATTGGAACGACGGGATCGTCTTGAAAATGAAATCCCAGTGTCATTGGCTCATGCATTTCAGTTGAGCTAAACTTAAGGACTTTTGATATTCACCTTTCAATAGAAATCTGTGCAGGTAATTAAAAATAATTCCGTAAATACAATCCTAGTAAGATATCTCATATCCATCAAACTTAAGTTTGTATACAAAATGACTCTATCACATACATCACCTCCTCTTAACATCGTATAAATTAACCTAACCCTGCTTTTCTATTTTTTCATTTAGTAGGGTTTGTAACGAGTTAAGTCCTATAAATATAACCTGATTGCTTGTTCAGAGAATCTCCAGGGCTTGGCAGATCTTTATTCTTGTAGATGTAGCTCACTTTCATGTGAGTCTGATATATAAATTATTAATCTCGAATCAGTTCTCAAATGTAACTTGTTGTTGTTACCCACCATTTCAGCGGTTGCTAAGATAAATTCATGGGCAAAGAAGAGTCTTGTCCGATTGAAGAGAGTAAGGATGGTATTTGTAGTCAGAGCTGTCTAGACGATGAATAGAAGCAGCTTGAAGAGTTAGATGACATGAGTATATCACTGTTTACTTTACAGCTCTGGCTATGAAGACGGAGCTGTTTACCTTTTTCACTATTACTAATGTCACGTTTGAAATTATAAGCTAACAATGGCTCAGTCGAAAAATCGACCTCTGTACACGATTTCATGAGACCAGAAGAAATCACTAGGCAGCAACAAGGTAAATGGGAAATGAGATGACACTACAAAACTCGTCCTAATAGGAAACAAGTAACGCATAACTCTCAGCTATAACTTTTATTGTAAATCCACACTAATCAACAGCGTAAAATTACAAGTTTAGAGTTCCAACTAATGAATTCGTTTTTGATAAAACAAGGATTTTACAATCCCTCCTACACACAAAAAAAAGTAAGACTCATTGGTCCCTTCTTAATACCTGATGTTTCGGCTACGCAGCAACTCCACCACAGCTGAAACCACTCCTTTCCCCTCCACAGTTATGTCCAAACTTGGATCTTCTATCTTCCTATTCAGCAATTTGTCCACCTCTCCCCGCAATCTCTGCACAATCAATTTATCATCCTCTTCACATCACAAAAACAAATGAAGAACATGAAAGATTTGACAGAGATAATCCAATTTTTACCTGTATCAGTTCCAATACGTTCTTCGAGGCTGAGAAATGGAGATACCCTCCCAACATCTCTATACCATCCCCTGCTTGGCTTGGGGTAAGACTGCCACCAAACATAAGCAGTGCGTAATCTGATATGTTTGTTGAGTCCCGGATATAAACACTTGTCGTCTTCACCTTTTCGCTGTACACCAAGTACGGCAACGAGAAGAGATGCACTCTTGCGTTGACAGATCCAGGGTGAATATCAACTTTACCCAACTCTTTAGTGTAGAACGCAGTGCGCTTCCCTCTTCTTTTGCATTGCACAACATTTGGGTACAGCCCCGCACACAGCACCGCGCTTATCATCTCCATATCGTGGCTGTATTGGTTGTATGGCTGTTTAGCACCATGTGCATGTTAAAAAAAGTCATTAGTTTTATATTATATCACCGTTCCAAAATATCATAGGCTTTATTAGGAATGGTTCTTGACGCTTACATTTGGCCCCCTTGATTTGTCTACGAATCCTATATCTGAAAGAAGATCAAGAAACTGGTTTCTCATATCCTCCATCATCTTTAGGGTTACAGGGGAAAGGAAGTTGTGCCAACAAAAATCTCTTTCGTTTCCACCACGCTTTGCATCCCGATATCCCTCAAATGCCTTAACAAGAGCAATGTGATCACTGCACAACACAGAAATGAAAATCTTTTCTGTAAGAAACAGAACTCAGTGACCTGATTGATTGAGAATGGGTGAAAAGTAAAGTAGTAATTCGCCTCTAGGTCATACCTGCAGGAATCACCAGCAAAAGATCTTTTGGCTTCATCAGCTTCCTCTTTTCTGTTTAACGGTAAGACAAATGGGCTCCGATATGCAAGAGCCGCGGCGATTGTCAGGGCAGGATTGACGCACTGGAAGATAGCTCCAATCAAAAGCATCTTTCCTATATTTGGATCTACGGGTAAAGTGCAAAGATGGCGACCTGTAACATGATGGTTTCACGTATGGCATATATTAGAAACTATAACATAAAATTGCAAAATGATAAAGACCAACGAGGTTATGCTCACCAAGGGGTGTAAGCGTTTCCATGTCATCTAAAGCCCCAATTGTTTTGAGAAGTTCAATAGCATTCTCAACAGCAAGAGCATCTGGCGGCTGAAGTGCCTTGGCCAAGAATGATCCTATGGATCCAACCTGCAAACTTTTGATGTGCAGGCATAACTCTTGCAATGGAGTCCGTATGATTTCTGGTAACTGATACTGTGGGAAAGCATCATAGATAACTTTTGGATACAACCTATAACAAACTCCAGCTTGGACACGTCCTGCACGACCTCGTCTCTACATTTGTACCAAAGCCCCAGAAAAAAAGCGCGGGGTTTAGAATCTTACAAGTATAACTATGATTTGGGCACGGTACTTAGTCGTTGATTGCTGATTAGAAATGTGGGTGTTAGTTGGGAATACCTGGTGAGCTGAAGCCTTTGAAATCCATGATGGCAATAGACATGCCACCTTGTTCAAAGCATCATAGCTAGTTTCCTTCGCTTTACCGCAATCCACAACATACACAACATCATCAATTGTAATACTACTCTCAGCAATGTTTGTAGCCAAAACTATTTTCCTACAAAAGCAAATCATTTGCTTAGAAAACATGCTACAAAAGCACTATGATAAAAGGAGAATCAACAGCTTATAAGGCTAACCGCTTGCTAGGAGGTGGACGGTCAAAAATTTCACGTTGGTTAACCGTCGGCATTGAACCATGTAGAGGAAGAACTAAGAACTTGCTAGAATCTCCAAGCAAGCTGTTCCCTTTAATTTTTTCAAGCAGATTCGAAATCTCATCCCAGCCAGTGAGAAAGACAAGAATCGCCCCACCACCTTCACGACGGCATATATGTTCGATTGTTGCCTCAACCTACGACCAAGTTTCAACAATAAATTCATAATGAGATTCTCCACTAACAGATTATATGAACTAAATATTAGCTGGATAGAACAACACTCATACCAGATCCAAATCAATCTGTGCACCAGACCATGCTTCAAGAGAAACTCTTGTGGCCGAGCTATAACTTTTATAGTGAGCATTGACGTCAACATCCTAAACATATAAGATCAGAATTGGTAAGGCAGATTTCAAGCTTTCAAGGTAAAACATATTCAAGCCTTTGAAGATTAAAAAAAAAGCTAAAAGATCACTCCTGCTGCGTTTTCTTTAATATCTTCTATAAGAGTATAGAGACAGCTTTAGTCACTGAACCCATAAACTTTAATTACTTCATGGATTTAGCATAATAGCATAAATCTCACGATTTAACTATAATATTTTAGTCTTGAGGATTAATCTTTCCACGTACATGGACATCTAATGTCTGTATCAGCGTGATATAAAAGAAAAATAAAATTCTTCAGGCTAGTAAATTCAGACGGATGAACCAAACTTGAATGCCCTACTTGAGTTTAAGAACTAGAATTATAACGCAATTCGGTATACACATCGTTCTTGGAGGTACCTACAACATTGGATTCCATGGGATATAGTCATACCTCAAACAGTGTAGTTAGGTCGTCTTTCTTGGATTCTGAGTCTCTTCTTCTACCTCTCGAATTACCTTGATAATTCCCTGAGTCAGACGACTTAATGCTATAGCGACTTTTCTCCAGTACATCTTCTAGGAATAGCTCTGCAACAGGGAATGTGAACCCCTGGCAATAAGTTGAAAAGATGAGTCACAAATATCAGATGATAAACAAGACAATGGATATATGACTAATCATACCGGAATATGCATGGTTGGAGCGTTCCCAAAATATGTTGAGAACATGTCAGCATTAATCGTAGCACTCATGAGAATAAGGCGTAAATCTGGGCGCCGAGGAAGAAGATCCCGTAGTATGATTAGTAGGAAATCCTCATTCATGCCTCTCTCGTGTATTTCATCCACAAGCAAATGGCTTATGCTAGTTAGATTAGGATCCTCAATCTGCATTTCAACAATTGATTCGACACCGCAGCATTTCGAATTTACTTTTTTTTTTAAATATCATAGTTCAGCGAAAATGTTGATGAGTGAATAAGTAGTAGAATAGCTATATCTTACCAGCCGCCGGAGTAAAACACCAGTAGTGCAAAATAGCAATCTTGTTTGATCAGAACGCTTTGATTCTAGACGAATCTGATAACCCACAGATTCACCAAGGGATTCACCCCTTTCAGCAGATATACGAGAAGCAACAGATATGGCAGATATACGTCGAGGTTGTGTGCAGATTATGTTGCAATCAGCACCTCTTAGGGATGATATCTCTTCTTCCAAAATAAATTGAGGAAGTTGTGTTGTTTTGCCACACCCGGTCTCTCCTGAAACTACCAATACCTGAAAAATAAATACAGGACACAACTATCAGTGCAAGATCAACACTGCTCAAAGAAATAGCTTGAGAATATTTAAGGAGAGGGGAGAAGATAGCTGATGGACATAAAGAAGAGAAACATACTAAAAGATTACCTGATTTTCTGAAACAGAGTTAAGAAACCCCTTTTTCATTTTGAAAGCAGGTAGCTTTTCTCTGAAAGCTTGAAGTGCCTTTACACTGTCAGTTGCCTGAGTTAAAACAGTTCATGTTATATCCAGACTCTACAGACCCTCTAATGCATACAGTTTGATAGAGCCATATATACCTTTAGTTTTTCCTGCCTTTCCTTGAGTGCAACACTAAATTTTTCTTTCTCATGAGAATCCAAAGATTTGGAAGCAGAATCAGGTCTTTTAAGGCCAAGAGTCGCTGTGCGATCCTGTTGGTCATTAAATGCTGAAGTAGAGACACTTGAAGACCCTGACTCTTGTGTTGTTTTCAAAAGAGTTCCAAGCTTTTTCTCTGTCTCTGTAGACATTTGAATCTACAAGAAAAGAGTTTAAGCTTTTAATCATCCAACTCTGAATATAAATTTGCTTACGAGTGTCATTCCTGTTACCTCTTTCTGAGTGGATCCATGCCGTTCATCAAGATCCGCCCGATAATCTGGCAACGGAACTTTGCTAACTACAAGAGCCTTCCCTTTACAGTACGCATGGCTTCCTTTCCAAAAAGGAGAAAAGAAAAATTCATGACATAGTCTAACCATGAAAACTAAAGAAGTACAAAAGCATGGTTTATGAAGAAGTTATCGATAAGATAGACTAACAAGTAAAGTCCCATCTGATAAGCCATATCAGAGAGTGTTTGCTGATCTGCCCGGCTAAAGTTACGCTTTATTACCAACTCTTGTTCTCCTCCTGCTTTCATTTGCTCAATCTTGTTCCACCATTCATTCTCATCAAGAACTTCCATCTGAAATGAACTGATTCCCATTAGCCTTCTTAAATTCACCCACACAACTCCTAATTAACATCTCCAACTAAATCTAATAACTTTCATGGACTTTTACTAATACTTTTTTTATCCGTTCCTTATCCAGGACTGCCACACAGCCAAAAAATCAATCTTACAGACTTTACCGCAGAGCTGAATTGCACAGAGAATGCAAGGGAACTCTAAAACTAAGCTTATGCTGGAGCTAAAATTTCACCGACACAATCAAATCCACTATAGTAAACCTAAGTACCGATGCTTAAGCTTCCCAGGATTGCGAGAGCAGAGCTCCGGAATTCAATTTGATTTGTTCAACTCCGGATTCTAAAACTAATAGGCCTTCATCTTCCTAATAGAATCTTATTGTCGATTTCTAACAAGCGAGGAGCTAAAACAAAATGGAGAAAGTGAGTGAGTAAAGTAGAACAATGCAACCAATATACCTCAGCCTGTTGCTGGCGCAAACGCTCAGCTCTCCACACCGGATCCCACCATCGCTGTTCCCCACGTCCGCCTCCGCCGCGTCCACCACCACCACCACCTCCGCCGCGTCCGCCACGGCGACCTCCACCGCGACCGGAGGAAAAACCTCCGCCTCGACGACCACCCTGAGAATTAGGACCGTGAGGGGGCATGGAAGCGATCTGGAAGAGAGGACGAAGCGGAATGAGTTTGGAAGAAAATGGAAGAAGGGAGCCAAGTGTGGAGAAAGGAGAGTGGCGGAGAGATGACAATTGCATTCGAGTAAGTTTCTCAAAGTAAATTTTTAAAAGTTGCAATGGCACTGACTTTTTTTTATTTTTTGTATTGTGTGTCACACTGTACAAGATACACAATTGAAACTAAACCTAATTTGTTTCAACTTTCAACCAAACAAATGATTAGAATCAACACAAGAACAAAAACAAATCTACAAAAAATCATCACCCGAAGATGCCACTTATTTCCACTGATCTTTTCTTTGGCTAAATTACTAAAAGTCAATATTGATTACTTTGATAGCATATTAGTAATGATGGAATTGAAAAATTAATAGAGTGATTGAGCCATCTCAAGCTCTCAACTATATGACAACTTCTTCTAACCGTGACATAACAATCAAACAAATATGTAAATCTAACAATGTTTCAAAAGAGTGCCAGATACATGGCCAAATTTTTGTTTCTTGTTACCTTCTCAATCTTTTCACACCATCCTAGTAAATACTTTATGTTGTATCCGACATATATCATTCAAAGAAAAACTATATTTCAACATCTCGAATTGCAGTCTCGGCTCTTGGACCCGAAAAAAAAAGTAGATTAGCTTACCCTAACGTACTTGACAGGTTTGTAGTTCACTAATTTGTTGATGTTATGGTTAAATTGTATTCGTGATTGTCTGTTGCTGAGCAACTAGCTAGCTTACAAGCTCCGAATGATCTTCAGACAAATTATAAAGCATATATAATTTATATGTACGTACAAGTATGATATACTCGTTTATGTACGTTTTGTCTCTGTACTTATTATATAGCTCTTACATGTATTCAAATAGACCTGTCTATATATTGTCATATCATAGTGTGCATTAAAATAAAGATCATGCAGGCATACAATGACGCATTAGGTTCATTATAACAACTGTCCAACAGATTCTTTTCCACTATCAAAGATTCCTTGTGAAGTAACTAACTTTGGCCGTGAAGTGAAAAAGAAAAAAAAAAGATGATATATTATGATTTTAGCTAGTTTTCTTATCTATTTAGGCATCTCCAATTCTACCCTATTTCTTCTTCCAAATGTTATTTTGGAGGAAATTATTTTCCAATCCTACTCTATCTTCACCTGCAAAATTGAGAAATGCCATTTTTTCCTCCAAATATGGAATAATCCCATTTTCAACTCTATTTTGCAGGTAAAATTTTTTATTTACAAAATAATCATTTACTTTTCATTAATTCTTAAAACTATATTTTTTATTTATAATTCAATCCTTTATATTATATATATTCAATTTAAAACTAAAGATAAATAGATTTAAAATTTGAGAATAGAAATTAAAAAATAAAAGAAAATTAACTGAAACTGGAAATAACATAAAATTAAAAATACATAAGAAATACATAAACTTAAAATGTATTTTGTTTTATTATTTTAAATGGTGTATAGTATTATTTGTATATTATAATAATTGAATTTAAAATAATATTAGAATTTTTAACTGAAAAAACTAAATGGATTTATTTATAATTTTTATAAATAAAATGCATTATTAGTAATTAACAATAAAATAAAAATGAAGAATAGACTTAAAATATTCTTTTTGGAGTTATAAGTACTTTTTTCTTATCAATATCTAATTTTATATTATTTCTAACAAGATAAATATTGTGTTTACGGTGTATTGGCATCTTTAGCCATATATTAGAAAAAAATCTATATAGATGATGAAAAGTTTACAATGTTTCAAGATTGTGGATAGATTTCAAAATTTTGGATCCGGAGAAACTATAAGATAATATTGCGACCTTGCTTAGGTGACAAAATTAGTGAATGGACTTAAATAATCCTACATAAAGGATAATTAACGTATGTAAACAACAAGATTAATTTGCGTAGCGACGAAGACGTTGACTTCAAACTAAATCCGCGTCAAACTTTTGTGATCTTACCCACTGGCACCTCCCTACATTCCTTAATCAAATCTAATTACTTGGCTTGTCAATATTGTAAAGACGTTCACCATACTTTACCATATAATTTCTGACAAATATAAACGGATATAGTGTAGATTTATGACCAATTATGGTATATTGGCCACAAACAAATGAAAAAGGTTGATATTTATCATATTGTATATGGGATTATGGGAAATCTTTTCTTTGTTTAAAATATGAAAAATCATACTTTGATATGCCAAATTATGTTCTATATCTACAACATCTGAGTTTTTTTTTTTTAATTTACATTTAAGTTATAATAGATAGATTTGAAAAATATCTCATTTGGGTCAAAATCTTATCGATCGTGACGTAAAATAACGATTCTATACATACTTATACAATTACTATTACAACATTAGCAGTGTCATATACTCCCTCTGTTCAGAATTATTTGATGTTTAAGGTTTTTCCACACAGTTTAAGGATTCATTTAATTTTTATTTTCCCTATACTAAAAATATTATTTATAATTCATTTAAATATCATTCAGCCAATAAGAAGACAATCTGCAGAATATAAAAGGTCAAAAACTATAAAAATTTATTAAATTTTGCATTGAAAAGTGAGAACATCAAATAATTCTGAACAAAAAAAACCTTCTAAAACATTAAATAATACATCAAATAATTCTAAACAGAAAGAGTATGAATTAATTACTAAAAATAAAATGTCACACCATGCTTGCTTTGACAAGCTTTCTTATCCTCATTCACATGCATCTCCTCCCTCCTCTTCCCTCTCTCTCAGCGTTGACTTTTTGATAATCCCAACATGCTTCAATTTCCATGCCTTATAATCAAATAAGTAACCAAAACTCTCCATTATTTCCTCCTCTTCTTCCTCCTCCTCCTCCTCTAAAACCCACTAAACAAAACCATCAAATTAAACCGTAGCCGCCATGAACACCTTCCAACCGCCGCCACCGCCGCCACCGCCACCACTGCCGGAATACAACGGCCTCCTCGGCACGGACGACATAGGAGGATTCAGGTACGGTGTCGGAGTCTCCATCGGAGTGCTCCTCCTCATCACAACCATCACCCTCACCTCCTACTACTGCACACGTAACCAGCTCTCTTCTTCTTCACCTTCACAGACCAATCTTGATTCCACACGTGTGCATCACCATCACCACCACGTCATCATCGACGTCGTCCCCGGTCTTGACGAGGACACTATTCAGAGCTACCCGAAGATCCTCTACTCGGAAGCCAAGGGAGACTCAACGGCGTCGTGTTGTCCCATTTGCTTAGGAGACTACAAGAGGAATCATCTCCTGCGGCAACTACCAGATTGTAACCACCTCTTTCACCTCAAATGTATCGACACGTGGCTTAGACTCAATCCTACGTGTCCTGTCTGCCGGACTTCGCCGCTTCCTACTCCCCTCCCTACTCCCCTCGCCGAGGTTGTCCCCTTAGCCTCCTCCGTTGCCGCCACCAGGATGTCCTAATTATTTGCTTATCTAATTAAGCGGAGAATCCTGAATCAAAGTCAAGACTAATCTTTGTTGGGACATTTCTCTTCTTGAATTCTTCTTTATTTCCTTGTAAAGTTTTCATTTTTTGGTCACTGACTGATCACTGTATATATTCTTGAAGCCGAAGATTTGTAAAAGAAAAGGAAAGAAAGGGTAGATTTCACAATTTTGTTGGATAAGTTGCTTTGATTCTTGTTTTTTTCATAGTCAAATGTTAGCAAGTTGAATCCTACATATGTATAAACGTACCAAGAAAGAATAATTAAAGTCGTTTTGAATATCGCCGAGAGGGACTTGAAATACATTTCCTGGCTTGTATTGAACTGGTGGGCTTTGACAGATCATTTAAATATAAATAGATATTCTAGACGTCAAAACCAAATAAAGAAGAAGGCGAGAAAAAGTTGGAACTTCGTTTAATTAGGTGTTTGATCAAAACTAGCAACCTTATTCTCAAACCATTAAAAGTAATTTTGTAGCAAGCACTTATTTAAGAGCGTCTTTGTCTTAGTTGGTTAACCATCAGCAAACATGTATGATATATGATCATAAAACTCTCAGAGGACGTAAAACACAGATATAAAAAACGTTGACCAAGAGAAAAACAAAATTCCAAAACCATTTTTGTATCTAATTCCAACTGGCTGAAGCCAAGTAGGTGAGATGTGTAAAATGAGTTGACCACCAAACTGCCCTTTATATATTAAGTATTCGACAAATAAAAATATCACACCAAATTCATTTTATATACATTATGTATCTTTATTTATCAATTTGAATTGTGTATTTTATCTATGAACATAAATAGAGTTCAAAACACTTTGTAAGAGTTATAGTTTACATTTCACACCTAATCACACACCTCAGCAATTCAGCATTCGGAAAATGCATGTAGAGTCTCCCATTATATCGTTCTAAAAGTTAATAGAATTTTTCCATTTGCAACAACAAATAGGATTTAATATATATTTGTTTTTACTTTTCAGTATTTATTGGTTTTGGAACGGAATGAATCTGTCTATCCATTTCTCTCTAACCTTTATCGAACTGTTCCACATTCAGATTTTGATTTTTCCCAAAGTTTTTTGGGCTTTAAATCCGTAGTCTCTTCGAAACAGAAAACAGAAGGTTAATGAGCCTCTCCTTTCCAACAATAGAACTCGATCTTGAGGTGCCATATGTATTTATAACTTCCCAAACTCCCCAATCGGTTGAAAAATATAATAATGAGAATTGCCTATAATAATTTGATACAAAGACAAATATTGGACGAATGGGATAAGGTCGGACTTAGTCGTTGCTACTCTATGGTCTCGAAAATATACATAGTTTATAAGTACCAAAAAAAAAACAGGAAGAGATATTACACTATGGGGGAAGAAAGTATATTAAAGCACCCACAAGAAGTCCAATATTATGCTTATGACAAGTTCAAAAACTCATGTAATTAAAGGATCTGTGTTTTAGCTGGGCCTACAAATCCAGTATGGATCATGTAATTTGACGGGCTTAAAAGAAGAAATTTGTCATAATATTATACTATTTTAGTCATGAATTAATTGGATGTCCAAAGAAAAGAAAAATCCGTACGTCTGGTTCGGTATGTCGGTTTCATGAACAGAAAGGCATTAAGAGTATAAAAACGATAAAAGCACACCCCGGAGTTTTTGCTTGAGGAAGGATCCACACACACACAGAAGAATCTCATCAACAATTAGTCATGGGTTGGGTTTGGAGAGACGATTCTTCCGCTTCCGACGCCGGTTACGATGTCACCGATCAGCCACTCGGAAATTCCGCCGCCGACGGCAATTGCTCCACCTCCACGGTGGTAAGATCCAAGTGCAAGACGGAGGAGGTCGAGCCTGGAAAATTCGTAAGGAAGTGCGACAAAACCGAGGAGATCCTCCGCCACTGTTTTGGGAAGTGAGTGATTTCGGAATTTCTCTCGCCTTGAATTTAATCGAAAAGGATAGCATTGAGTGATGATATTGAAACTACGATTCGCGGAATTGAAATTTCTAGGGTATAGAGTCATATGCTATGGTGTTAATTTTGGATGTGGAAATCTGATTATATTGGATTAAGTAATTAACCCTACGTACTAGAATCTAAAGATCAAATAGATTTTAGATTTCTTCACGAGAGTGTGTTGTTTCTTTTGGCTCTTAAGGTAAATTGAAGTTGAGCTGGTTTTCTAAATCAAGATTGAATCTCTATTTACAGAGAACTAAGAATAGATGTGTCTTTGTGATATTTGGATTACTAATATGAGTTTCATTTGTAGAATAGATGCAAAGGAATGGTGATATTGCTTAGTGATGGTTTCCCCTTGTGGTTGATGTTGTTTTTCCTTATCTGAGAGGACTTGGTATCACAAGTAATAATATGGTACAACAGTTTTCTTATCAGAGCCCCGTGTAGCTCGGGAAATGAATCCAGCTATAGTTTAACCACCAAAATGTTATGATATCTGTAAAATTTTGTTGTCATCTTTGTAGTCTTCTCTAGATAAGTAAGTGGAGTAACTTCTGATTGGTCTTTTGTTTTCTTCTTAAGAAACCTGTATGGTCTATGAGTAGTTTAATTAGATGATCAAGTCTGTTAGTTCATTACAGTATCACATCACAAGCCAGATCTTTGAGTTCCTACCATTTAGATCTCTTGTTTTCTGTCTCTCTTTTTGTCATTGTCCCCATCCAACTGCTCAAGCCTTGTCTTATTTCCGCTGCGTTCTTCTTCTATGTTTGTGTCAGGCCCTCTGAAGTTGTTCAATCCACAACAGAGCACACAGAAGAGGATGTGACTGACCAGATGGTGAGAAGATCCGCTCTCCCGAATCAGTTTGAGGAAAATCCGCTAAACTTCCCGGGACTCCGCAGCGATGTAGACGCCATAGAACGCCATTTCTTTAGCGGAATGAAGAGTTTCTTCGAAGCAGCGGAAGAGATGAAAAGCAGCTTGTTCGATATCATGGGAGACCATCACTCAAGCACCAGGAGAGGGATACCCTTTGAAGACCGTCCCAAGTTAGAGGACCATCGCAATGACGAGAAAGCCCCTAGACAGTCCTATTCCTCGGGAGAAATTGATCTCTCGGGCTTGGCCAAGGACGTTTGAGAAAGCGCTTTTGTCATTTTCTTTTTGTTTGTTTCGTTAACATGTCTAATCTTATTAACAGGTCTTATGTTATGGATTGGAAAACATTGGCTTAGAGCCTAATTTTAATAAAGTACTTATAAAAACTTATAAAATCTAATCAATATTGCTTGTAAATTGATATTTTGTTATACAATTTTTTTAGCCATTTAGTGGTCATTTTGTACTAATACTGATTGTATAAAATGTTTATGGAGAATTTGTATGTTGTTATTTGTTAATAATCATAATCATATTTTTCATCCTTTAGTTTTAATTAAATATTATATAACTTTTTCGTTTTAAAATATATGTCATTTTAAAATTAGTTTTTTCATTTCAAAATATAAGTTTTTCAGGTTTTTTTTACACAGATTAAGAAAACTATTCAATTTTTAATTTTATCCTTTTAATCTATTATTTATAAAATTAGCTTTTCAAAAAAAAAAACTAACAAGCTGAAAAAAACAAACGAAACAAAAATTACATCGTCTAAAATTTACTACTAAATCGTAAAAAAAAAATCTATTACCAAATTTATTCAAAATAAAAGAAAAACTGATATATTCTAAATTACAATTTGAAATCACATATATATATATATATATATATTGACTAGTTCATATTCAAATCTTAAAACAAACCTAGTTTTGGTGGTTTAATACAATAAAAAATTATATTTAGGCAAAATGAATTTGACCGATTTTTGATATTTGTTACTTTATTAATAATTAATATTCAGTAAATTTTGATAAGCATAGGACAAAAAATAAAAAGTGGTTTATAAAATATATATTTGTGAAACTTTCAAAAGTTATTAAGTTTTTCATCCAACAACGCATATTAAAATTTAATTTACTACAAAGATTTATTAGAGTTTATTTATAGATGAATTTTTTTACATACCTAAACTAAAAACTAGATAAACCAAATTAAAAATCACACATTAGACTATATTGTGTGTTGATTTGGATATAAACTTATTTAGCATATGTTTGAGTATTTGAGTTTATATATTTTGGAAGGTCAATATTTTCATATATTTATTGTTTTATATTTTTGTTTCCACATTGTAAAAATTATAAAAGTTTTTTGTTTTTTTTTTTAAGCAGAATCAGTAAGAAGGAACTTAATATACATATGTTTTGTTACATACAAACAACGTCAAACAAACACAATAAAAACTAAAGCTTTTCTATCTTTATTCTTTTTCTTTCCCGCGTTAATTTCCTCAATTAGGGGGCAGTAGAACCTCAAGGGTAGCCAGCCGCATAATGTTGCATGAGTCTCATGAGGACACTTGCTTTCCCAGTGACATCTGTCTTCACCATCAAATATTTCCATGAAAGAATGCTGAGGAAGATAATCCAATGTGGCTGATGGAGAAGTAATATGTATGTACCGTGGATCGTAATCTATAAGAAACCCCTCTCATGTTCTTCCATTCGCGACTTCAAAACCTCGAGTACGCACTATGTTCATCAGTCATAGTATCTTGTCTATATCCCATGCGGTGAGAACGGCCTCAATAACAATCTTGACAGAATCTCACGGCGGTTCTCTGAATTTTTAGTGGTTCCTGGATTGAGCTATTAGTTTAGTAAAATTGGACAAATGATCAAAATTTCATGACCAATACTTACACAACTACTTTGTTTTATTTCTAATCTTTTAAAACTTACGGTTGCTCCTGCTTAGTTTTTGTATTAGTCTATGCACAGCTCTGCTTATTAACTATGTAAATATGACTTTAGTAGAAGCGTGGGGATTGTCGTCTAATGTTAGCGGCATGCACGTTTTGCCTTAGCCGTTATCTTTATCCTCATACTATATTACTATGTTTGTCTTTTTTAAATCATAACGACCAAACATATATCACATTCACTTTGTCTGAAAAGTTTTTTTTTTTTTTTAAGTTTGTCTGAAAAGTTATCTTCATTGTTTATTTGTCTTGACTATATTTTGTAATTTTCATTAAATGGTAATATAATAAAATTGGTCAAAGTATGGGTTATGGAGTAGAATTAAAGATTTGAAATCTAACCTTACGTTTTCTGAAAGATTAGTTACCATTTTGTGGCATGGAGTAATTTAGAAAAAAACAATAAATAATATTTATCGTTCTTCGATTGAATCGACGACCTGTTTAACAATTTCGGAATGTGAAAGGACCGAACTTGTTAATCGATGTATGCACACAGACACTAAATAAATCTTTTAACACAGGCAGACAGAGTCATATGTTAGATTTTTGTTGGGAAAGAGAGAATCAATTAAGTAAATTAATTGAGGAAAATCCAAAAACCCTAATAAATCCCTCCCAAAAGAAATTCAGTCACGACGTGAGTCCCAATCCCTTTTTGTAAAATCACCTTCCTTCTCAACGCTCATTTCTTCATCTTTTTCGTCTTCTTCGTTTTTCATTTTGTGTATTGTGTGTGTATCTTATGAAATGAGATGATTCATAGAATTTTTTGATAATCTGATCTCGAATTCTCTGTCTCTCTCTCTCTCTCTCTCTCTTAGGATCAGAATTAATTGGGAGATTTCTCTGTGTTTGCTTCATGGAAGTGGTTATGGTGTTAGAAAGGAGAGATCTATGTCTCCAGAATATCAAATTAAGATTGTTTTCTCTTGCGTGAAACGGAAGGAAATTAAAAGTAAAGAAAAGGGACTCTCTTCTCTATCATTTCGCGTTTCCTTTTAGATTATTTGTATACCGTAACGTTGATCAGGAAACAGAGATTTTGTAGAAAATGGGGAATGTATGTGTTCATATGGTCAACAATTGTGTGGATTCGAAATCGAATTCATGGGTTCGTCCCACAGATCTCATCATGGATCATCCATTGAAGCCGCAGCTTGCAGACAAGCCTCCTCAGCAAATGTTGATGCTCAAAGATGATGATAAACCCAAGCTTGACACTCACGGAGACCCTAAATTACCTGAGGAGAAGGCAAAAGCTGAGGCACAGAAGCAAACGAGTGTTACAAACTCATATCACAATTCTCTTCAGGAAAAAGAAGGAATCAAGAGTGAAATGAGGAAGTGCAGTGAAGAAGAAGAGAAGAGGAAGCGAGCGATCGCGTGTGGGAACAGCAAAAGAAAAGCTCACAACGTGAGGAGACTGATGAGCGCAGGGTTACAGGCAGAGTCAGTGTTGAAGACGAAGACAGGGCATTTGAAGGAATATTATAACTTGGGAAGCAAGTTAGGTCACGGGCAGTTTGGGACGACGTTTGTGTGCACAGAGAAAGGAACAGGGGTGGAATACGCGTGCAAGTCTATCCCGAAGAGGAAGCTAGAGAACGAAGAAGACGTGGAAGATGTGAGAAGAGAGATTGAGATAATGAAACATCTGTTGGGACAACCAAATGTGATTTCGATCAAAGGAGCTTATGAGGATGCAGTGGCTGTTCACATGGTGATGGAGCTGTGCAGAGGAGGTGAGCTATTCGATAGGATAGTGGAGAGAGGGCATTACTCTGAGAGAAAAGCTGCTAATTTGGCTAAGGTCATACTTGGTGTGGTCCAGACTTGTCATTCTTTAGGTGTGATGCATAGAGATCTTAAACCTGAGAACTTTCTCTTCGTCAATGATGACGAGGATTCGCCTCTTAAAGCTATTGATTTCGGGTTATCTATGTTTCTCAAGCCTGGTATGTGTTCATTACAAAAACATATATGTTTTGTTTTGCTTTGCTCTGTTTTCCTGAGATAGAAAATGTTTGTTTATAGGAGAAAACTTTACTGATGTCGTTGGAAGTCCGTATTACATTGCGCCTGAAGTTCTGAACAAGGATTACGGTCCAGAAGCAGATATTTGGAGCGCTGGTGTGATGATTTACGTGCTACTCTCTGGTTCAGCTCCGTTTTGGGGAGGTGAGATTGTTACTTTGATCACAAGCTTATTGTTACTTTGATTACAAGCTCTTATATGTTATTGGAGGTGTGTTCTCATGCGTGTTATTAATTTAAACAGAAACGGAAGAAGAAATCTTCAATGAGGTTCTTGAGGGTGAGCTTGATTTGTCATCAGATCCTTGGCCACATGTCTCTGAAAGCGCAAAAGATTTAATCAGGAAGATGCTTGAAAGAAATCCCAACAAAAGACTGACTGCTCAACAAGTATTGTGTAAGTCTCAAGAATCATGAAACTTCATAATTTAAGCAGAAATAGAATTTAATCTTAGTTGTTTTTTTTTTTCTTTTTTCAGGCCATCCATGGATTAGGGATGAAGGAAATGCACCAGATACACCGCTTGACACAACAGTGTTGAGTCGCTTGAAGAGGTTTTCAGCAACAGACAAGCTTAAGAAAATGGCTTTAAGGGTACCAAGATATAATAGAAGCTTTTGATATTGTTTTGATGATAAAATCTCTGACAAGTACTGTTTAATTGGCAGGTGATTGCAGAAAGGCTTTCTGATGAAGAGATTCACGGGCTTAGAGAAACCATCAAGATTATAGACAGTGAGAAGAGCGGGAGAGTAACTTATAAAGAACTCAAAAGCGTTCTTGAAAAATTCAACGCAAATCTTGACAACTCTGATATCAATGGTCTTATGCAAACGCCAGTAAGCAGACAACCAACGTCTCAATATATAAATTTAGTGATTAGGAAATTAAGTTTGCTTCATAGTCTTTCTAACACATGTATGGATTTTTTTTTGTGATCACTTATAGACAGAAGTGCATTCGGAAGACACAGTAGACTATGAGGAATTCATAGGCGCGATTATAAAACTGAAACAACTACAAGACGAGGAAGCAAATGATAGTTTAGACTCATCAGCAAAAGTGTAATGAAGTTGGCGTATATGATGTTGTTGTCTGAAGTGTAATGAGTACTCAGAAGTCTGAACTGATGATGAAGAATGTAAGTAAATGTGAATGCATTGACTCATTATCATATTCTTAACCTGTAATATCTTAAATCTGTTGCGAATTTTGTGACAATTACCTCCCTAAAAATAAGATCTCTAGTCTTTTCAATATTTCAAATATATAGTATATAATCTTTGCTTTTTAATATAGATTATATGATGCAACAAAAGGGCTGTAACAAAATGAAATAGGAGAGGCAGAACAAGGAGAAGAGGGACACAAAGAGGCCACAAGAAAGAACGTAAGTAAATGGATGGAACGACAAATAATTTGGATATGTAGGCTCTTTTTTGTTTGTTTACTATATGTTCAACCAAAAAAATAGAGCAAAAAATGAAAGCTGTGTGTTGTATATAGACAAGTTGTAGTAGAAGGATAAGGAGACACCAATTAAATTCAGGTGATGTTGATGCTTTGAATACCACATATTAGACTTTTGCCTTTGTGACTTGAGAGGGTCATATTAGGAATATACAAGGATGAAACTGTACCCAAAGAAAATCCAATTTTGAAGTATTAACCCATACTTTTAAGATGTTATTTGAAACACCCCTCTATTTCAATGAGCTAATAATGTCTTTAGGCTATTTTAAAAAAAATCGAAGTTTCTACGTATGTTAAAAAGTATACCTTTTTTTTTTGTGATCAAAGTTAAAAAGTATATTATCAGTCAAAAAAGTAGGAAAGAAAGTGTTCCACCGTAAAACGTTTGGACAAATCCTGAATGATTGCAACGTGTAGTAATAGTGTAATACACATGAAAACACTGTGGGACCCGTATTGTAGAGAAAGAAAATCTTGAAAGATTGGCCCCACAAGATCTGACGGTGGAAATCACACAGCTCACAATCCTACGTGGAATCAGTCTTTTTTGGTAGTAAGAGAAAACTCGTCGAGAGACAGCTCACGTCGTGGCTGGATGGGGCCCAAACTTGAGAAACCAATCATGTGAAACGGTCGTGACACGTCAGCTATAACGGACGAAGAAGTGGGGTCCACACGCGGCGGGTATGTCGTGGGGGCTCTAAATTGTAGTTATGGTTCGCTGTAACGGAGACCTCCTTCTTCCTCTCCCCACGTTCTCCAAACACTGTGCTCTTTGATTAATCTCAATCATTTGCTCACTTTCTATCTTCTATTTACTATTATACCCCTCACTCACTCTTTGACCATTTTGTTGACCTTGTTTTCTTTCTTCTTAATATTGTTCATTGCAAAAGATATTGAGCACCTAACTACATTGTTCAAATCTCTGATGCATCATACAAACAACACTACTAATTAGCTGTCTTATAATAAATTTTAATTACTACTAAGTACTTTGTGAGTCTTAAAAAGGTCAAAGACCTAACAAAAGACGAGGGGCGTTTCCGTCATTTAGTCATCGATTTGTCTACATCCTCTCTCCTTTGACGTTGAAAAAGCCATCTTTTCTCTCTCTCTCTTTTGCTCATTCCACACAGATACAATACAAGCAAGACTCGATCTTTCTTCTCTCTTTCTTTTGGCCAGTGTCTTTCAACCATACGAAGCTTTTAGAAGAAAAGCATATACGCTTTGTATTTCATTCTTAATCGATTAACGAGGTATATATGGCCTCGACTTTTGCTCTTTTATTCATTCATTCACTGTGTTTCACCTTTTTTTTCTTCTTAGGAACTTGTATGACTGATTCTTCATACTTTTGTTGGGTAATTGTAAGTTTCAGATTTAGATTTCGATTTCGACTAGTGAGAATATTTAGTTGTCCAAATCTCTTGGAAAATGTTTTTTTTTTGTTGAATCTCTTCTGAAAATCAGTGCCTTCGAATTTGATTGAATTAACGTTGACAAAGATTCGTCTTTTCCTGAATTTGAAGGATAGTTGATGATCATAGTTAAGCGTTTCGGTGCAAATAATGTAGATGAATTTTGTGACAGGCTTTAGAGTCGGTGTGGTACTTATGTGTTGCAAGGATTAAAGGAAAAACAGTTTTTGAGTGTTGCAAAGATTTTTCTTTTTATTGATTGTTGACAATTGCATTGCTATGTACCAATGTTTAGTTCTTAGGATCAGATGGAAGAACAATGGGTGGCTCCTTTTGAGAGAAAGATCCGTCTTTAGCCGGGATTTGGATCTGAGCTGAGTTCTCTTTCATCATCTTTGTGGAATACACATTTTCTTTGTGTGGATTCGGAAGTTGTTGCTGAATGGCGTCCGAGGATGTGAGTGTTGTTGCGGAATCAAAGAAAGAGGAAGAGAAGGTCGATGTTGAGAATTTCAGGGACAAGAACAGACCCGAGACTCTTGACTTAGTTACCGAGAAAACTGACAATGTCAATGAAAATGCTCCAAAAGATGAAGCCTTGAAACCTGTAAAGGTATAATGATTCTTACAAGACTCATATCTTGAACCATTTTGTTTTGCTAGTCTAACATCTATCTCTCTTCTGTGTCATTCTCTGCAGGAAGCAGAACTCCCTGAGTCTGGTACTTCAGTGAAGAGCAAAACCGCCAAGGATAATAGAACTGTTAAGAGAAAGTCAGGGACCTTTTCTCGGAGCCCGAGGTTCCTCTCTCAGAGCTCTTCATTTCCAACTAGAGGAGCTCAAACCCAAAGCAAGAGCATTGATGCAACACCAAAGGCTAGTCCTAAACCCGTCGTTGCAAGTGGATCCAAACCAAGAGCAACTCCATCTCCAAGCAGCGGTGTTTCCACCAAGCGTACCAGTTTAGTATCTGCTCCCCTCAAAAAGCAAACTATGGTAACTACTGATTCTCTTCAAGAAGCCATCTGCTTTGTTACTTGTTTAACGCTTTACTGTTCTCAACTTATCGACTTTTTCTCTGTTGTATCAGCCTGTGAAACCCATTTCTAAGGATGCAGCTTCAGTCCCTACTTCCAAGTGAGTCTAAATGTTTTCTCCTTCAAAATAAGTATACATAAGCCAGCTAAGTAAATATGCGAAATTGAAACAGTCAACTAAACTGTTCTCCCGCAGCAATGGCAGCAGATTGGTGGATGAAGGTTCTAAATCCATTAAAGATGAAATGGCAGGCAAGGACAATGAGGATGCCCCATCAACCAACGTTGTGTAAGTCCTCTTTCTTTACATTGTTGCGCCATATATGTTTCCGTAGTTTCGAATGTGGAAACATTAAAGAAGACAGTAAAATATGTATAATTGCATCTGTAATTTTACAGGGTGGCAGATAAAGTAGCTAAACCGATGAAAGGTGAAATGGCAAGCAAGGAAGATGAGGACACTCGTTCAACTACCACTTCGTATGCCATTTCTTCATCTTCTTCCTATGTTTTCATTAATGACATTTGTATCTCTTTATGTAATGTTTTATGTTCAACAGAACTTCTACACCTCGTGGCCGGAGAAGCAGCGTTGGTTCTGCGTCTGGATTTTCATTCAGGTTGGAGGAACGGGCTGAAAAACGGAAGGAGGTTGGTGCTGCTAAATGCACTTTCTCTAAGCTTACAAGCTTTTCATTTTAACTTTTCTAGAGAAGGTTTTAGTTTCTCTTAACTTGTGTCTCCTTTTTTGTGTTGACCTTTCAGTTCTATATGAAACTAGAAGAGAAGATCCATGCTAAGGAAGTGGAGAAGACAACTTTGCAGGCGAAATCAAAGGTCAACATTTTTGCAGACTCTTCTATAACGGAAGAAGAAGTTTATTGATCTGACAATTCTCTTTTTTTTGTCAAATGGAATGTGTTTGTTTAGGAGAGTCAGGAGGAAGAGATCAAAAGGTTGAGAAAAAGCTTGACTTTCAAGGCTGGTCCCATGCCCAGTTTCTACAAAGAGCCCCCACCTAAGGTTGAATTGAAGAAGGTTTGCTTCTTTACTCTGTGTGACCACACTTGTCCTAAATCGTAGTTGCTATATCTGATGTGTGGTCCATGTAAATGTTGCAGATACCAACTACTCGTCCTAAATCTCCAAAGCTAGGACGCAGAAAGAGTAGCAGCGATGCAACAGGAGGTGAAGCTGGTCCACGTGTGACAAAACCAAAAGACTCATCATTATCTACATTGAAGAAACCCATAACAAAGTCTCAGCCAAAGCTTGAAACTCAAGAGAAGTCAGGGAAGGCCAAAGAAAAGAAAAGAGAAGGGAAGAAAGAAGAAGCAGAGAAAAGAGGAGAGGAACAGAAAGCTTCTTCTGTGACTGCTTCTAAACCCGAAGAGAAGAAAGAAGAAGCAGAGAAAAGAGGAGAGGAAGAGAAGGCTTCTTCCATGGCTGCTAAATCCGAAGATAAGAAACCGAACTCAAGCAACATCCAAGTGAAGGCTGAGATTATGGCAAGTGAAGTTGCAGTGGGAGGCTGATCAAAGCAGAGAAAGCGTTTGGCAACGATCTCTTATGTCTTCTTCTTCTTCTTTTTCAAAAGCATTAATGTGAATAGAGTTGTTGCATTGCGTCTACTTTGAGAGTTACTCTCCATTTCTTCAGTCTTTTTTTTATTTATTTAAATTAAGCCTCAGATTGTTTCTTATGATATGGTCTCTAATATTTGTTGAATTCAAAATTGTAAACCTATATGTATTATGAGGACAAGATATGTGTGAATTTGAAGAGTAGAAAAAAGAAAAATAACAATGGTGAGTTGTGCAAATGTGTAACGTCAAAGGAGGCTGGTGGGGTCTTTAATCTTTAGTTGCTGAGCTTATTAAGGTCAGATACAAATTTATATCCTCGTGGGGTATTCCTATTTTAATTATGAGTATTCATAATTCTTAAAATGTTTTATATGAACTTTGTGGATCAATGAATATAAAACGAGATGAAGTTACCAAACAAAAGTTATCGAAATGTTCGTATGTGTTTACAGTAATATTGCATTATAATGTATATATTAAAAACCTTGATAACGTTTGACTTTGACTCTAGAAGCCTATTGCAAATTTTGTGAATTTTCAACTTTCAAGTGAAAAAAATAAGAAGTTAGTGATATTAATTTGCTAAAGACCAGAAAGAATCAGGCTTTCATTGCATGAGGACAAAATCCCCACACAGCTCACCTGCTCTCGTGGCCAGTGCCCACTTTCTCCTAATATCTTCACCGTTTTAATAGTATCATTAAAGATTCGTGTCCCAAGCTGTCAAAAACTAAAATTTTGTTGTAAACAATGCAAGTAAAACCCTTTTGGCAAAAAAAAAAGAACAAGGCAAGTTTTTTTTTTTTTTAATTTCTGGTTAGCATTTTTGTTAAGCTTTATAAAAGCAAATTTATTCCTAATTAATCATGTGATATTTAGAGCGAGATAGCTGTAAAACGTAATATGTCCAATAAATTACTCTATATATGGATACTCGATTCTTCTTTTCTAAATTTCTTTTTCTGTGACGACAGAAAAAGAGTTCTTGTTATTGCAATAAACCATAAACAAAGAAGCTGACTTTAGGACCAGGTGAATGCAGTATAATATTAGAGATATGTTTATTGATGTATTACATTATGTACATTGCAACAACCATGTCCAATCACACATTTTAATTTTTAAAAATTGACAGACATTTTATGTTTTATTCCATACAAATGATAACAATGTTTTAACTGATAGGAGAGATTGGAAGAATAGACATACTCACACACAAATGGATTCTCCCTTTTATTATTCCATATAGTTGTATAACTTGTATTACATTGATTTCTCTAACTCCTACTACTCTTTTACGCACCCCAAATAACAAACTTCATCAAAACCTACTGTCCACGTATTTATATATATAAAAAAATTACAAATAGAACATGAAAACCGCAATGAACCAAAAATCACAGCATTTACATATTCAACTCTTTCTTCTTTTTTTTTTTCTTTTTCTTTTCCAGATGTTTACAGAATCAAGAATTTGGAAGTTCGTGTTTTATTTTGATAACGTATAAAATCATTGACACGGGATAAACCGTGACCCCATCAGTTTACAAGCTACCTCCATCAATTTACCTGCACATATTATCATATCATCAGTAACTTTTTAAAAATGATTAAGTGCAATGAATATATGATTAGAAAACAAATCCAAAATACCGAAAGACAAAATGGTTTGATTTGGGTTTTTAGTAAAAATAAAGACAAGCTGTCGCTAACGACCAATGCCTCACAGCTTGTCTTTAAGAAATAAAGGAAAAAAAAAACATTTTTCTTCAATTAATGATTAATTGATTATACGGGATTATTCGTCGGTGGGCTATTAAAAAAAAAAAGCTACTATATGGAATTAAAAAACAAAAAATTTTTAAGAGAGTTTTGTCTCCATTGTTTTACACGTCTCTACTTTATTCCAAATCCCACATGTTTACTAACTTCTACTATCATTTAGCGACCAAACTCATGGCTGCTTATCTATTTGATTAATGTTTCATTCTAAAAGTGTTAGAATAAGATTTTTTTGACAGTCGATGACACAAAACAAAATGATGAATTTTGGGTTTAGATGTCACAATCCAAATATTTAAGGACCGAAAAGTCAGATTCCAAAACATAACTGTTAAGAGAAGAGTAAAGATTGAAAAATAACTTTACCTCTTCTTGATTTAGCAACTTTCTTAACGACCGGAGCAGCGGGTTTAATCTCCTTCGCCGGAGTCTCCTCCACCGGAAACAAGACACCGTCAATACCCTGAACTGAAATCCGACCGTCGGTGTAGATATCAGGGTCGAACAAATAAGCCGAGCCTTCACCGTGTCCGAATTTAACAGAGCCATCAGCTTCTTGAGCCAAGACTTTGTGTGGGAATCTAAGCGAATCATATTTCACTTTCCCGAATCTCCGTACGGCGTTGTACATACTCTCCTCTGTCTGATATTCCGGTATGATATGGTAATACACAATCTGCTCAGGAGCACCTGGCTCGCTTAGCTGATCCGTCGTGAGCTTAGCCATAGCTTCATCATTAGGAGCCAAGACCGTCAAAACGTAGCCTTCAGAGACAAGTCGACCCATCTCGGTGGCTAAAGATGTCAAATTTACGAGAATATCAGCCATCTCGTTGTAACCACCGTAATGCAGGAGAGTGTGGATGAAATCTTTGACCTGAGCCTCGCCGTTGAAGTGGTGACGTGGACCTCCGGGTCCTGGAGCTGGAGCCGGAGCTAGAGAAGGACCTGGTGACATAGCGTCGTAAACCGGGAGAACCGGAGGCGAACCGGCGGGGACTGGAGGAGCTGGTTTCTTTAATCGGTGGGTTCTTGGGTCAACCTCCGGAGCTCCTTCTGGTAAGACGGCTGAGATTGAACGGAGACTCCGGCGACGGTTGAAATCTTCTTGAACGGAGCGAGGGATGAGAAGACGTTCGATTCCGTGGATGATTCCGTCGGGTCTGATGACGTCATCAGGACGGATTATTTCGGCGGAATCGACTTTTAACCGGAGAGTTGGAGAATCGACGGTGAGGTGGAGATGGTCGTTGGAGAGAGTACGGTGGTGATGGGAGAGAGAAGGCCATTGAGGAGAAGTGATTCGACGAGGGAGAATGTGAAAGAGCAAGAGAGATTGCAGAGATTTGAGGTTTCTTGGTTCGAGCAAGAACGATTTGAAGAGAGGGTCGAGGTTTCGTTCAAGTGCGTCGTTGCGTGGTGCGAAGATTGTGATGTTGTGACGACCAACTGCTTCTTCGAGGGTTTGGAGGAGGAGGGCTTTCTCGACCAGCTCGGCTAGCTCTGTGTAGTGAGAGTCGAGGAGAGCTACGAGGACTGAATTGGAGTTTATTTGACCCGACCCGGGTTTAGTTTCGGGTAATGCGGTGGCAATGGAGGCGGCTAGGAGGAGGAGAAGGAGCTTTGAGACGCCGTAGGAGGAATCCATGGCGGTGGAGAGAGAGAGAGAGAGGAGAGAGGAAGGGAAGTGTCGGCAAAGTGAAGAATGGTGTTGGAGTTTTTTTTTTGCTTGTGAAGAAGGAGAGAGATAGAGAGAGAGATTCTGATGCTGATGTGAAGTTTCTTCTTTTTTTTCTTTTTTTTTGTGGGTGGGTGGGTTTTTTTGCTTTTTTTAATTTTTGTAGTATTTTTTTGGTGAGGGTTAAAAGTGGGGTCTACACGTGTCCCATGGTTTCAGATTTATGCTTAACTTGGAGCCTCTCCTTCGGACAGAGGCTTCAACTTGCTTCTGTTCAACAACTCAGCTTTGTGTTTCTGTCTTGGAGGCTTTCGTGTCGGTTTCTGACTCGGTCCGATATCTGAACTTCACTTCAAAATAAAAACTTTCCATCTTTGTATTATTTTAATATAAAGAAATCTATTGTTTTGGCTTGCAAATCATTACGTAGTACTCAAACCATTGTAAATCCAATAACTAGCTGACAGTCACTTTTGATTTATGATTAAATATGATCACCGATGTGTGCTTTAGCCTTTAGCCTTTCGATTATGGCTAATTAACTATTGGCAACATATGTTGTCGATTTTCATTTTGATGATTTGACCTGCATCTCGAATATTATAATATGATACTACTAATTAAGCTTCATCGATACCCAAATTACATGCTTCTCGACACTGTATTTGTCTTACAACGTCCATTAGGTCTAATTGTTGATATAGATCGTTTAATTAAATTGTTCAAATTATTCACACCAGACTAATAAATATTGTTATTTCTCCAACATTGTGAGTTCATAAAGCTCTACACTCGTATATGCTAGGCTCTACCATTTGTAGTTCATTGCCATTCGTGGGCTTCCATGATTTGTCTTTGCTTATTTCTCTATAGAGGTGAAGTTCTCTTCCGATTCATTATGAGAATGTTAAGTGTACACTTTAGTGATATGCATAAGCAGATGTATTATATAGCTGACTGTCCGTGAACATATATGTCACTATGTCAAGAATTAAAGATATCATACTTTTCTCTTAATTCATTGAATGAATTTAGCATGACAAATACATCACCAAATGAATTAGTATATTAATTACTGACTGAAAGGGTTTATGAAGTTCGATTGTAAATGTAATCCATTTTGAGCTACTGGCTAATTTTTATAGGACGGAATTATAGAAGAAAAATAATCTATCCAAATGATTTTTGATCTCGAGGATAATTAGTCACATATAGCAAGAAAAATATGTTATTAGTATATAAATCGTAAAACGAAAAAATCAGTGAAGGAAGGTAAGATGTCTTTCGTCCAAATGTATCGATTTAAACTTTTGATTATAATAAGAATCTTTGCTTATAAGATATTAAGACTTCAGACCAATGCATGCAACATTAATATAATTTAATATTGTTAAAGATTTACTGCATAAATATGTCGTGATTGTGAAATAACATCTCGAGAGAAGGATCTACTTGATTAAAAAAAACAAATATGGAGATCATTTGTGAGAGATATAAAAGAAGGGGGGCTCAAGGAAATGTGGAGACTATATAGTGAAAGTCAAAGGGTTTAGGGTTTGGTTATCGAACGTGCGGTGGAAAAGCGCGTGAAGAGTCTTAAACGTCTGAATTATGATTTGATATAATATCGCTTTCGCCGTTAATAATGAACTGAAACGGCGACGTTTCTCCTGCCGTTAGATTTTCCGTCGCCTTCGAACCGACACTGTCTTGGTAGTTGGCTTTTCTCCTTTGATTGGAAGCTCCGTTCCCAGTCCCACATAACATTATACAAAAGGAGAAAACATTATAAGAAAGTTAATAAAGGAAACAACTTTCGAATTCATTTTCTGGTTATCATATTTCGCCAAGGAGCTCCGACTTGTTAACTTTTGAGTTTTATATATATATATCATTTTACCAAGTGCCAATGTACCCGGGAAAACACATGTTTATGAATATTTTTGTGTATATAAAAGACTATTGGAGTGAAAAAAGAACAAGATTGAGATTAATATTTCAAAACGAAAAGTCAATGATTTTTTAAGGATTTTTATATTATAGACAACATAACATTTATTAGACAATAATTGAAAAAAAAAAATGCATTGTACATATAAACTTTTCGGCCTTTCGGTTAGATGCGAGATGTATGGCCATAAAATATATTCTGAAGATCTTATAGTATGGCATTATAAATAATATTAAGATTAAATCATTGATTTGGTTCTTACAAGATTAAGATTGATAAGACAATTATTTGATTCTCTTGTCTTTTACGAAATCACTCTTTTTTTTGTTGTTGTTTTTTTTTTTTTTTTTTTGCTAAAGACGAAATAATCTTGTCTCTCTTAGAAAAACAATCTTACTAAAATTCGTTACAAAACGTATATAAATCATAAGAAAATTGACATAAGGATTAAAGGGCGAGAAAACGATGAACAAATAAGCACTAAGCAAACAGTATAGTGATAGGCTTATAAAAGTCTTGGGCTTATCCTGAAAGCCCAATTATTTTGTTCAACAATCATATCCTTCTTTTTTTGTTCAACAACAATCATAGCTGATCCTAATCTTGAATATTTGGTTGGATCTAATTAATAGGTTAATCTTATTCTTATTTGGCTGGTCCTAATAAATAGGGTAGTTGATACGACTCAGAACATTAACAACAGACATTCTGTATCCACTGACATTAATAACAACATGGAATTGGGTATGTAGTCCGGTTTAGCTCCTATTTTTGGAAAGAGCGGTGTATAAATTAATATTACCAAATTAAGAAGAGAACAACTTATGATAGTAACTAACATTAAAGGTCTGCTAATACCGTTGAGTGTTGACTTGTTATAAAAGTTGACTCTTTTGTGGTTGTGGACTTCTTCTTCTTCTTCTTCCTTCATCCTCTTTCCGATTTTTCCGGCGATACTCTTCGTTGTTCCTTGACGGCTCCATCACATCATCTGCAAAACTCACCTTTTTCTTCTTCTTCTTCTTACTCTTCATATCTACAAAGAAGTATAATTCAATAAGAAAAAATTAAAACTTTGATGGAATTCGAAAAATCGCGGAGAAGATTAAGTACCAAAGTGAGGTTGGAGCTTATCCATGTAATCGGAGAGGAGACGTTTGTGTAACTGAGCTGCAAGGAGCACCACGCTTCCGGAGACGGCGAAGACTGTCATGAACCCAATTGAGCTCTCCATCTTCTTCTTATTTATATATTCGGTTTGTGTTAGTTTGCATGAGAGATTAAAGCAAATATAAGATAATATGGTGGAGACATGATCCGAGTTTTTAGGATGGGAAGCATTGTAATGAAGATAAGTATATGGTATTCTTCTTCATTAATACCACTCTTCTTTTCCAACTACTAATTAACTTTTTTTTTTTCTCTTTTTTTTTTTGTTATAGAGGAGAGTTGAAATTTGAAAAACAACAAAATAATAAAGGCGTGGAAGTGGAAGAATGTTTGGAAAAATAAAGGGTAGGTGAACTTTGTAGACACAAACGTGTAAAGATATCAAAAATTGTTTGGATTAATAAAAAAAAAACACTATGAACCCTTCTAATTAATTGGATGAAAACTTCAATTAAATTTTAATTGTTGGACCTGTAACATACCTAATATTCTGAAGTGAAACTGAAACGATTTGAGGTTTTCAAGTGTTGTGCTTTCACATAAATTGGATCGGATGCAGATTGCTAGTGCTCGCCGAAGATTCCTTCCAAATACTTGCACAAATTTCTTTCTTTTAGAGTTTGGGATTTCTTATCACACAAGCAATCTTGCGATCTTAGGGATTTGCAGTTTTTGTTCTTCTTATCAGACCCACACGCTGACTTTTTTTTTTGTTTTGTTCTGGCTACATCTCTTTTATCACGTGAATAACTTGATTACCATGATTCCTAGCCCAGTTAGGAATCAACCTTTCTTAATTCCAAGTCGATTAGGAGGACCCTTTCAATTTTTCAAACTTGATATTTCTACGTAAAAAGAAAACAAATATTTAAATACCAACATATAAATATTAGGTCTAATTCTGTTATCATAAAATTATTTTCAAAACGTGTGGTTACTAATGGTAAGTGGAAAGAAAATATTGCTTTTTTTTTATGGGAAAAAAAATTGTTGTGTCAAGAAGGAAAAAGACCAACTCAACACAACAAATAATCACAAACCATATATTCCAAGAGACCCGTTCAAAACCTCATCATGTAAACCAATACTAATGAAGTGACTTTATATATTCAACAATTAGTCCCAAAGGAGATGTAGATGTAAAAGACTCAGTAAGATGAGTTTTGAGATCCAAGTTTTATAAAATCAATGGTGTGTTTATACCGAAGTTCCAATGATTTATTGCAGAGATTATAATATGAGAAAGAGAAGAATTCTTAATATGCAGAGAGAGAGAGAGAGAGAGAAAGAGAGATAAGGTGATTCAGATGATCCAGCTGCTATCATCCTTCACCTTTGAATCCACGGACCAAGTTTGCTGTACATGTTCCCACACCAACCCTTCCCCTTCCTGCATATTCCACAATATACAATCATCAACAAAACTCCAGGAGCTACTCGTATTAAACCAATCTCATACCTTTGAGGTGAATTTGACAGTCGTTGTGCAGCCACTGCATTCGTCCCCTGCAAAGAGAAATTGGTATTAGTATTGCATTAGATTCTGATGGATATAGAGCTATAGATGATGCAGTTTTAGGCAGTAAGGCTTTACCAGTCTGCTCCCATTTATCAAGCTTTACTATCCAAGTCCCAGGAGTTGTGTCTGTTGCCAAGACTTGATCTGCCCAAACCCGAAACTTCTTCCCTTGTTTGTCTCCATGGTACTTGCGCAGCTCATCAATGGTATCTATCAGAGATTTTTCAGTACCAGATGGATGTACAAATACACCACTGGGATGCTGAAAGCAGTCGACACAAGAAGGCATTTATATAGTCAGATATACTATCCCACTGCAATACATCATCTAAATTAAGTGTACATACTCACACATGAAGATTTGAGGCTCGCTGTGTACGCCTCACAGTTTTCAACCTCACCCCGTCTCCATCTCTCGTAGAACAAGAAAAACTTTACAACCTCGTGACCGGGGTTCACATTCTCAGCCTTGCATTCTAAGAAGTCAGAGACATCTCTTGGAGAAAGGTTTGGACCAAGCTTGAACTCACCAATGGCTTGTATGATCCCACCCGCACACCTCTCCTTTGCATGGATTACCTTTGGGTTGTCCTTCGCATTTTCAGCATGCCACTTCAACAGCTCTTCTTGAGCATTGCTTACCTGGAAACGAAACAACAGATTCCAACATCGTCATGAAATGAAACTCAGAGAGATGGTGTGAAGCATGATTGAACAGAAACCAACCATGACACCATAAACATCGGGAATGCTAAACAGTTCAGCATCGTTCCCAGAGTCTCCACAAGCAAGAGTATTAACAGGTAGTTTTCCTTCAGTCTTCAGCTTCTTTAGCAGATACGCAAGCGCTTGTCCCTTCCCGGCACCTTGTGGTAAGATATCCAAGTCCATGCCTCCACTGTAAATTATTTTGACATCCAACTGAAACAACCACCATACACAATCTCTTAAGTAATAAAATCTCAACAAAAACTCTAAATTTCAGTTGCTACAACAACATTATGAAAGCAAATCTTACTCCACGTTTCTCCAACCGCTGTGATAACTCCTTGGTCACTTCTTGAGCCTTACTCTTGTCAACGTAAAAGCTAACCTTGTGCGGCCTCTGCTCAGTTTCTGCCTGCATGCAGTGATGACACTCTTGTCATTGTACCAATTGAAGAGTAGATTGCTGAGATAAAGACTTTTTGTTGAAGCAGTGAGTACCTGAAGAGTTAACTCAGAGAACTTGCTGGTTTCTTCTTTGACGATTCCCAAGTCCCATTTATTGTTCAAAGTTTCAACCCAACCATGATCAGGAACCATGGAATTACCATAAGTAATCTCGGTTCCTACAGACATAATGGTAATATCAGGGGTCAACAAAGGTTTCTCTTTTCTGAGTTCTTTGTACAGCGTTGGTGATCTTCCCGTTGAGAAAACAAGGAGTGAGTCATGGCGATAAGCGTGTTCCCACAATGAATTGAATCTCAACAGAGAGAGGTTCTCAGGATCATGATGATCAACCTGTACTAAAACGTGTTACACATCAATCAAACAAACCTTCACTTTTTAATTATCAAAAGCAAAAAACTGGAAAAGATAAAAGCCGTAAATGACGAAGGCTTTACCATAGTATGATCAAGATCCGAGACTATCATCAGACGAGGAGGAGAAGTTAGCCGCTCCATGATTACTAACTATCGCCGTCCTGAAGTGTCAATCATGAGATTTCGTAAATTCAATCCAAGAAAAGTGGATCACCACTAACTACGACAGATTATACAATCGAGAGATTTTGATATCACTAGCTTATCAAATCCTGTAAATGACCCGAAATTCTCAGGTTTTTTTCTCTCTGATAAAGCTATTATACATAATGATTCAACACATGAGTTCGAAAACATTAACCAGGCATAAATACGTCGATTTAGAATCAGACGCAAAGACAAATCACAATCACAGGAGAGGATGCTTAAACAAAATTTCGCGTGCGATTCATGGGAAGAGCAGAAAGGTAAAATGAAGAGGAAGAAGAAGATGAATGCGAATAACAGAGGAAGAGAGAGTGTACCCAGGAGATTCAGATTTCACCACAAAATTGGGATCGACCTCCTCTGTCCTTTCGATTGCTTTTTTTACGATAAAAATCGGATGACGATGCTACTAAAAACAAACAGAATCAAATTTTATTAAGAAATCGAATCGAAAAGATGCTTGCACGTGTAAGCATATCGAACGGCTATCATTACACGAATATTCTTTCTTGTACTGGCAACAGAGCATTCAAGATTTCTTGTTTTCTTAAAAAAAAAAACAAATCAAGAGAGTTTTAGACTCTGAAATGTAAAGTTCAAGAATTTTTAAGATGGCTTTTCGGATAGAGATGCAAAAAAGGAGCAGTGGAAAAAATGGTTGGTTAACTTAAAGGCCAGTATTTTTTTTTTGCATATAAAATATACAAATTTATACATACACACTATTTTTGGCACTTGAATACAACAAAAGGTTTTAACTTCTATTTGCTTACAAGACAATGGAAACTGAACCACACTGATATAAGGATTTTTGACCTAGGACGATGTGTTGTCCTCTTTGGGTTCAAACTGGAAGATGACCCCATTACTCTTCACGAAATCATGTGTCGTGTGATCCACCTCCTGACCATCATCAATCAAGACCAACAATGTCAATAACACAAGTCACTAACTACATATTTCTCACAAAAACCTCACTCACGTTTGTGTTGCTGAGCTCTAAGTTGTAGAAGTCCATGGAGCTGTCTCTGAACAACGGTCCAGCATGCCACGTACCACGGTTCAGTTTAACAAACTTCGGTCCCGAGACCTTGAAGACGCGCACTTCTTCAACCGCAGGAGGAGCGTACAAGTGACCACCTGACCCTGATTCTACATTATCACCTCTTCTTCCTCCATCGTCTTCAATAAGAGATGGCTTAGCCACTCCAAGATACCAGACATGGCCTCCTATTGATCCCAGACACTGTGTCACGTTTGCGTGATGAGTTATCTTGGAGAAGCCAAAGGATCGATCTTGGAGCCGCATTATATAGAAACTACGAGTAACAAGGAACTCTCATTATAAAACAAGAACACAAAATTTCTGAAACTAGAGCATGTAGTTGTACTAATCTCAGGACTTGTGATTACGCTCCCACAAAATGTTTTAAACCTAGTCTTATTTGGAACTGATCAACACAACCACTTGGTACTAACATCGCATAATAATCAAAACATAGATTGATACATTACCAAGCATCAAAGATGAGAGCTTTAAACAAATTAGAAAGCATCAAAGATGAGAACTTTAAACACATTAGCAAGCATCAAAGATGAGAACTTTAAACAAAAAGTAAGGAGATTAACAACGAATCGGATTAGTAGAAGAATATATTTGATCAATAATCTTAGGAATTAGCGAATTTTCAAGGAAAAATCGGAAAAGGTACCGAGGGGTTCCTCTGGAGAGATCCAATTGAGCGTCGTTGGGACCGAAATGATCACCATCACCAGAAGCTTCTATGACTTGACCATAATTAGCGAAACTCTCACTTGTAGCTTCGATCGGGATCAGATTCACTTTCACCGGAGATTCCGCCATTTTTGTTCCCACCACAAGAAAATGGAAGTGAAGATAAACGTATAGGGGGAAATTCCATTCGCTATCAGAAACACACAATTTTTAAGTTTGGGTTTTTTCATTAATTTGAAAAGTATAGGATTAATACGAAAATGAATGAGAAAATAAGGGGTCCTTATGCCTGTTCGGGATTTTCAGGGCTTCATCGGACAACGTCTCCTTGTCTCCTTCGTCTTCATCATTACAGCATTTGAGAGAAGAGAGAAAATGAGCGGAGCCGGGAAGAAAATCGCGGATGTAGCATTCAAAGCATCGAGGACAATAGACTGGGATGGTATGGCTAAGGTCCTTGTCTCCGATGAGGCTCGCAAAGAGTTCTCCAGTCTCCGTCGTGCATTCGATGAGGTTAATACACAGCTCCAGACCAAATTCAGCCAGGTCTCTTCTTCGCATCTCATTTTACCTATTTTCGTGAAATTTTACTCATTTCGATACGACAATAAGGTTCACGATTAGTGATGGAAACAGGAATCTCGTTTTTATTTTCTTCAATAGTGGGTTGCTGTTCTTGTGCTCACTCTCACCTCAATCTAGCCAAAAAAATGAGACTTTTAGAATATTCGATCGAGAGAAAGATGAACCTTTTTGAGGATCGATTTTGATATGTTGTGAAGAAAATTTTAGTCAAGGAAAGCACCAATGCCTGACGATGCTCGACTGATGTTGAATCTTGATCCTAGTTCTGCTTGTTCACTGATACTTAGTATTCCATCTTATTGCAGTGATTTGCAAATACTAAATTATCCCTTCATGAGTCATTCCCCACATAGCTTTTGTTTTGATGCCTGTGTCATGAAATGATTTATAGATGTTTTTTATCTGTTCAGGAACCTGAACCCATTGACTGGGAGTTGTATAGAAAAAATATTGGGTCTGGCATAGTGGACATGTACAAGGAAGCTTATGACAGTAAGTAAAGTTATTCTGCTTCTCTTGCACATCTAATTATATTCCCTTACGCTAATTTGTGTTTGATTGTTAGGTAGAAGTATTCTGTGTGGTTTGTATTCTCTTAAACCTGATTATTCAGTACTTTAGAGAGATCTGCTTGACCCGGCAATGAAAATCTGAATTTCCTGCAGTCATGTGTCTCCTTTTTGATTCTTAGACATTGTGAGTATAGACAGACGTATAAGCCAGTAAGCCTTTTTTTTTTCACAGTCTCCGATTGTTTTTTTGATTGCTGAAGCTGTGAGGATAGAGAGAAAGAAACCTATAAGAACCCAAGTTAAAAATCTCTTATTGCTCTGCAGGCATTGAAATCCCCAAGTTTGTGGACACTGTAACTCCTGAATACAAGCCCAAGTTTGATGCTTTGGTGAGGAACACCATAGAAACTAGATTGCTATAACAAGTGAAATCTTTAAGTTTCTCATGTTATGTTTACAGTGGCTTGTCTCATTGTATGATTAGTTGGTGGAACTGAAAGAAGCAGAGGCGAAATCCCTAAAGGAATCTGAGCGGCTGGAGAAAGAAATCGTTGATGTCCAAGAGATCAGCGTAAGTAATTTGGAACAAATTTATGAGATACAATTAAAGATCAACAAGGAGGTAATCTGATTAATGTTATATGGTTGTGTTTTGGGGGTTACAGAAAAAGCTAAGCACAATGACGGCAGATGAGTACTTTGAGAAGCATCCAGAACTGAAAAAGAAGTTTGATGATGAAATCCGCAACGACTACTGGGGATACTGACCATTACTTCCAAAACACATTCTTGCTTTTAAGCTGCAGCTATGAAGTTTTTTTTTTGGGGGCAGCTTAAGCTGGAGACTCTACTCTGTTGTTAAATGCTACTTTGCCCTCTTTGTTTTCTCTTTCTAAATAGCCATGGTTTTGGAATACAATCAACGCCTCACAATAAAAGCTCTTGCATGTTTTTCTCGCGCATGAACGTTTTATGAGTTGATATGCAATTGAAATTATACAAAAGGTTCACGAAGGCTCATGATTCTAAGTTTTGACCTACCTACAACTACTTAATTGTATACACAAAACAAGCGAACAAGCTATACACCAAGAAGCTGGATCATTTTAGCAAAAGCTCGGAAAAGAAGCCTATTCTTGCATCTGAGGAACTTCCTTCCTCCTACATGGACTAGCAAAAGCTTAAGAGATTTTACGTTGTTAAGACATGATGATTCTTCGTTTTACGTATTTTGATTTCTTACAGTGGGAGTTTGTTACATGAAAAGAAGTACTTGTACATTACTACATGTATGAGACCTAAACCATCTATCAGGATAGATAAAATATTCTCTGGCCACGCTTTTAAGAGCTTCAGAAATTACACATACATTTTTGATTCTGCAGGTTCTAACGTCCGGAGACATCGGTGATGGTGACATCGTTGATAGAGGCATTAAAGTCAATGTTCTCAGAGGACTCAGCTTCTGAAACACCGTCTCTTAATGTAAATGCAGGGTGTTTCGGTTTTGGAAGAACTGCAATCTCGCTGCTCAGCATGGAACATACTGTAGCAACACTTGGCCTTCTATTAGCAGCTTCTTGCACGCACAGAAGTCCGATGTGAACGCATTTGCATATTTCTTTTTCAAAGAGTGGGTCAAATATCTCAGGATCTACTAGACCACTAATCTCCCCTTCGTTCCAGATTGACCATGCCTATAAAACAGAGAAACTTTTTGAGCTTGACAATTAAGTTAAGTCACTTAGTAGAGTGAGGAGACACTCACATAAGCTAAAAGAGTCGAGTTTGAGTTTCTTCTTCCACTGACAAACTCTAACAGTATCACACCCAAGCTGAAAACATCAGATTTCTCTGAAAACTGTCCTCGCATTGCATATTCTGGTGACATATAGCCACTAGAAAATAAAATATATGTTTCCTCAGTTTATGGGAAAAGAAGGTGTAACATATGGTTAGAATGGAGCTTACTTACTATGTTCCAACGACCCGTCTGGTGTTTGCTTCATCTTCATTCCCTGGGAAAATCTTGGCCAACCCGAAATCAGATATTTTCGGAATCAGATTCTCATCTAACAAGATGTTGCTAGCTTTTAGATCTCTGTGAATGATTCTCAGCCTAGAATCTCTGTGAAGGTACAGAAGTCCTCTACATATTCCATTGATAATGTTAAACCGTGTCTTCCAATCAAGAAGTCTTGCCTTCACTGGGTCTGAACATTTGAACAATACATTAGCTTCTGTTAATAGACATTGGAGCAGAGTGTTGAAAACAAAAAATAGGAGTGATAAGTTACCAAATAGATAATAGTCTAAGCTTTTATTGGGCATGAACTCATAGACTAACATCCTTTCTTCTCCTTCAATGCAGCAGCCGAGTAATTTCACCAGATTTCTGTGTTGCAACTTAGAGATCACAACCACTTCATTAACAAGTTCCTCAAGCCCTTGTCCAGATGCTCTTGACAGTCTCTTCACTGCAATCTCTTGCCCTTCTTGCAACTTCCCCTGCAACAAAAAAAAAAAAATATCAAGAGTTATTGGAGTCGACATAAATTCTTGTGCCATAACTAAGAGTCATACTTACTTTGTAAACAGGACCAAACCCGCCTTGTCCGAGCTTATTGCTCAGAGAGAAATTATCAGTCGCTGCAGCTAACACTTGAAACTCAAACAGTGGTAGCTCTTTCAACTTTCCTTTACTACCACCAGCTAAAGCTTCTACTCTCTCAAAAATTTGCTCTGTATCTGTACCTTTCTTTCTCGCTGAGAACGAATCCAAAACATTATCAAAACAAAACTGTCGAATGCTTATAAGATGAAAACAGAGTTTAGTCAAAACTCTGACCTCTTCTCTTCTTGACAATATGTCGTGCCAAAAGACCAAAAGCTGCCACAACAAAAATACCGCCTGCCAATGATGTACCGATGATAACCGGTCGTCTGTCCGGCATTTCTAATAGAGAGTTGGCAAGAAATAACAAAATTGGTAATGCTGTAATCAGTAAAGTAATATATAGGAGAGAAGTTTAAGGAATAATAATACTTAACTGATTTCTGAATGTGCAAGACGGATATAAAGATCCATTCCACTAGCAGACATCTCCTGCGAATCAACTAAACTTCCATTCCAAACCATGCAGCCATAACCTAAGCCATGAGCACAAGCTACACAAGAACATGTCTGCAAACAAGTCCTTAAGCATTCTTGTTCACTAGCTTCGGATCTTCTTGCCAAGTCAGGCAATTTCATTCGCTTAAGCCTTAGAAATCCATCAGCAATCCCATTATTGTTCTGTCTTTCACACTGCAAAGGAACCTTTCTTATGCATCCACCACTATAGTTTCCATTGTTCCACTCTATGAGGTCCCTTGGCCTAAACCCTCTAATGCAAGAACAAGGCGGGGTTTTCAGGGAATTGCAGGTAGCGAACTGGCCACATCTTCTGTAAATATCACACTCGGTTGCTGGAACCTGGTCACCGACCGTCCAGCCTCTCCTAGCCTCACTCCAATCTCTCCGGATCACAGATCCTCTGTAATCCATGTAGAAGTATCTTAAAGTCGAATCATTAGCATAGGACATGGTGACTGATCTATTGGTATCATCATTAACCATGAATCTGTAGAGAAAGACGCCTGTATACTTATCTGGTAAACCGTTAAACATCTGGCCATTCCAAGGGCCAGTGCGCCACACTGTAGCATTATTATTATCATTGCTCAAAATGTGGATCTCTGGATATGCAGCAAGAACGAGTGCAGCAGTGTAGCTCCCAGGGGAAGGATCTGAAGGGTTTTTCCAAGAAGTTATTGTGATGTTCCCTCCTCCGGTTCTTGCGTTTGTTCCAGCCAACATATTTGGCAACCAAGAATCAGTAGGATACTTGAAACTCTCCCAAAGATATGCATTGGTGTTAGCATCTTTTAACACGAGGTTCCCCGAATCCAAAAGCTCAGCGACAGTGGAATTGGCGCTAACTTGAGCAGAGACGTTAGTTGACCATAGAATACGCCTCTGGCCATCTGTGACTACGAGGTTTCCATCTTCAGATACTGAAATAACTCCAGAGGAGTCATTGATGGGCTTATCTTTGTTAGCAACCCATATCACAGTTTGTACAGGAATGCTGTTATACCATATACCTGCATACCGACTTGTGGAATTCACAGGGCTGAAGAAACCGAACCTGAACGTGCGAAAGCTGGAGACTATCGACTCAGAATCACTGAGGTTGCCAGAAAAGAAAGCTCTGTCCTGAGCCAGACAGACATTTAGTAAGAAGCAAGGAAGTGAAAGAAGAAGAACAAGAACAAATGGACTCATGCTCTTATGAAGTCCCATAGATTCTGTCCCAGCCTTTCAAGAACTGACAGAAACTTCCCAACTTTGGATATAGCTTTGTTTTCTTGATATTTTTTCCTAAAAAGAAACCAAACACAATGATCTAAATATAGCAATGTAGCATTTAAGAATCGTAGGGTCTGGAGTTAGGTGATGCTGTGATGGTGTGGTGACTGGTGAGGATTAAATTCTCTAGAGAAAAGTCCAAATATTGTTACTGTCCAGGGTCAAGTCAAGTGTCTCTGTTTAAAGAAAATGCAAGATGCATCATTTTTCTATCAATGGCGGTCTCTGTAATATTGATTGACCAAATTGGCCCATCTAATTTTTACACTTTTTTTTTATCTTATACGACTTGGTTTTATTCACCTGTGAGTCACTTCATCTTCTTCTACGGAATCAACTCACGTCACCGTCCATCAATAAATCCAGACATTGACGTTAATGTCTACTCTGTTGTTATAACAGATGTTCGTTCGTTTGTTTGCTATACTAAGAAAAGTGTCCGCCATTCCTCAACGTTTAAATCAAGAATCTGTGCATAATGGTTAGGCTCAAAGAGCATCCTCAAATTTTTGCGTATTATGAGTCGTTGTAACAGTCGAAGCACCACCAAAAATCAACTTTCTTTTTGGAACCAGAGTTTTATAATGAGTAGATGAAATTGTCTTGGATACACAACAAAACAATTAACCCTTCTTTTCTTTTTTTTTTTGTCAAAATTTGCAAATGTAGCATTTAACAAAAGAGGAGTCTCTCCGGCTTAAGCTGCCCCCAAAAAAACTTCATCGCAGCAAAGCAAAGTAAATAGCCCATTAGCAAAGTTTCTTCTGACCAAGCTGATCAGCCACCACGACTTCCTCGTTCTTCTGCATAGCTTTTTTGGCTAGTTCATAGCCAGCAAAGTTCATGGCACCAAGAGGAGCCACCCAGAAGAACCTCGGGACTGCTCCTTTGAATAAACCAAGCGGTCCCTCGTGACGCAGAATCGAGAAAGCAACCATTGACATTGAGATCGGTCTCCCTGGTGTTGCAGTCATCATTCTCGTCTTCATCACATCAAATGGCGTTGTTACAACTGCTGCTATACCTCCTGACACTGCCCCAACTGCTATTGTCTCCCATGCCTCAAGTTCTCTTCCCAGCGCTTGCGCCACCATCTACAATAACCCACACAAACCGCAACCAATATATCACATTACAGTCCTGACCCTTTTTGATTATCTCATCATTTCGGTTTTGTTACCTTTTTGGACTCTGCGTACAGTCCCATGCCAACAACGTATAGTGGAACTTCACGGCAAAGAGTTGCTCCTGTCCCACGGAAAAATCCCCGTGGACCATCTTGCTTCCACGTCCCTACAATGGCTTCCCCTACATTGTTAAACATGCCCGCCTGCAACCGTTGCTTCAGCACCTCACATGGAATCCGCACAGCTGTGCCTAATAGCGTGCTGCAGAATGATGCAATCGATTGAACCTGCATCAAATGCTCAACATTGGTTACTGAGTACAAAAACACGAAGATCAAAAAGAACAAATGCGGATGATGCAACTGTTAACCGAAAGTTGTTGGGTTAATCTTCATACCAAGCAACTACGAGACCCCATAGTTCCGACAGCAGCAAGTATATAGTACTGTAGCCATAAACTTTAGATAACTACTAGTACTTTATCATAACATAGGGAGATACCACTAATAGTGAGTATACAGTGTCTACCATGTGACAAAAAGCATTAAGAAAACTACGTACTGCAATGAAATAACCTTGATAGTGGATTTTGCAGAATAAAACTGTGGAGGACAAAAACAGTGCTGAGGTTTCTAGGAAAATAATGTGACGATGGGGTGTCCAGAGGACAAGTGCGGTTTAAAATTCTTTATCACTAATTTCGTCAGTAACGCGACATCAAAGAAACTCATACTGAGACAAACACTTGAGGCACAAAATCATAATCACCTGAATTTCTGGGAGATTGGGAGCAAAATTGATCAACACAAGTTTGCTTGCTTCAAATATTCCTGTCCGCAGGCCATGGCTACAACGATGAAAGAGATTAAGCCACATTGGAAATGAAATTCACAAGTAAAAACATTTTTGATTTGAAACAACTGAAAAGACCTTGAAAATTGTCCAAGAATTGCCGGAATAGAACCCCTATATACTCCCCGGACACCAATCTCCGGAAGCTTTGCTATTACTTCAGGAAATGATAAGGTTGATGCTTGCACACGTGTCTGGCAATGAAAGTGATAATGAATCCGTCAAACCAACAGTACGCCACACGAAACCATGAGGAGTTATTTGCATAATACATCTATCTAATATGCGGACATTGTAGAAGCATATATCAAATATGTCCCTGATGTATGGTATTAGTTCTTACCTAAACTAGTCCAAATCGAGCATGTACTTATATTCATCTGCAAAAGCAACAAGAGGACTCACCTTAATTGTGTCAATCGGATGCATTAGAGAAGTGGAGAGAGCGGAGGCAAGCCCTCCCGCTAATGCAGACTTTAGAACATCTCCAGCAGGTAAGGCAACAGGAGGTGCAACAGCAACAACAGTCGCAGCTTCAAACCAGATGTTACTACACGAGCAAAAATAACACCAGTCACCATAGGTAGGACAACAACAATTACAGGTTTAAAGTGCTCTAAGGAAATCATCATGAAATAGTAAAATTGGCATTTTACTCAAACTAATGGGGAACTGGTCTGGTTCACTCCAAACAGTTCTACTATTCAAATTGGCATTTTACTCAGACTTCTTAGCGCAAAGAATTATACTTACCGAGGATCATCTTGTAACCGTTCATATGGCAGCAAAACCATGAAATTACGAAAATGTCCATATGAGATAGACTCCTCCGTATCAGCCTTCAAAAATCTCATCATCGCTATAGCATTCTCTTCATTAGCAGGAAGTCCTGCGTTATTTAGTGATGCCAATATCTGACTCTTCTGAAGAGTACCAGACTTGGACAAACAGAGAGAGGTATATGCACGGAGGATGGTCGGCTCCTTCTGTTCCATCAAGGACAAAAATTGCTTCCAACCAAACGATTTCGAGAAAAGGTGACTCCTAGCTCGCCGCATAAATTCCTTGGCATATCTTCTGGGCAGTTTCCTTCTCCTCATTGCAATTTCCAAATCTTCCAAAGTTACCTTACCATCACCATCTCTATCTAATTCTTCGAAGAACCTCCTGCCTGGAAGCCACAGAGAGTTATATTGGAAGAAATGGAGTAAATTATAATACAAGGACGTAAAACACCCAATGTCGGCCCAATGTCCATCCATTTTCAAAAGCAAATAAAAAATGTGTTCCTTATAGCAGCATACAATCTAGTCTTGAGAAACTACAACACCCATTACTTAGTTTATAATAGTTGAGACATTAGTTTAGGGTGATGGCTAGAGATATGATATAATAGTTCTGTAGCCATAGCAACAAGAGGCATTCCTATTCAATGATTTCAAACACACAAGATTTTCCCAACAGTCAACTCCAGGTTTTGGCAAGATGAGAAATAGATATGCAAGGCTAACCAAGTAGTCAAGAATAGGCATTAGGCAAGGTTCTTATCTTAAGATAAACTGGAGGATTCATACCTTCAGACTCGGTGTATCTGAAAAAGTCCTGAACAGATATTAGTTTTTTCTTGTCTGGATGGTCTCCTGAAGGTCGTCCTAATTGCGGTAAGAGCTCAATAAGTTCAGTCAACGAAATCGTGGACAATGTGGATTTCAAGCGCTCTACATTTGACAAAGGTATACTCAGCAGACCACTTGCCAGGTTCTGTGGAGAATCAACGGCATTTTCCTCCTTAGTACTAACATTACTTTCATCACCATCTTCACTCATGGGAGATGTCAGGCCAACTATACCTGACGCCACATCTCCAACTCTGGCAAACATCAGGTTCCCGAGGAATCCATTAACGTCGAGTTTTCTAGCCTCCCATATGTTGAAGATAAGTGGAATATCATTTGGACTAGCTTCCTTGGAACAACAAGATTCAGTCTGTGAACTGTCCTGCATGAATTGGTCCAGCTTCTGGAGATTCTGAGTCAACATTTCAATAACAAAACCCATGGCACATTCAATCGAAAAATGGTTCCCTTCCTTTTCTGTAGATTTAGCTGACTGATTCTTCATTTCTTTCCGATTTGCAAATGAAGCCTTTGATTTAAGGTTCTGTTTACGTGAATGAGAAAGACTGTTCTCATCATCCCCCGTTTTGTGAATCCTCTTCTTGCCTATCTTAAAGGGAATGGGAAAAGCATGGACAAAGCCACCAACCAACAAAGACCAAGTCATCGCAAACTTGAAGCAATTCGTACAAGAATCATCCTCTTTCTCAAAACACTTGTCTTTCTTCACCACCTCATTTCTACGACTCAACTTCTCGCTCGCTAGATTCGGAGAGAACATCCCAAAGAGTGACTTCACAGGGATTTTGATTGACAAGCCTTTCTTTCTCTCTTCACTCACAATACACTGAACATCAACATTTTCCTCCGAGTCGGGACTAGCACAAATCCGCTTCTTCCTGTTTCTTCCATGTGATCTCAAAGCAAGAGCCAGATCCTTTTCTTTGCTTATCCAACAACTCTCGATGTCTCTTGCCGCCTTTTTCACTCCCAGCTCGATCGGGAGAAGAACATCCTTAACTACTTGAATTGAATTGAATATAGTCTCGATAGGATCATTCGCGGACACCATTGCGTCACTGAACCATTCAATGGATACTAAACAAAGCACAAGATCGAACCTTTTAGTCGACTGGTTAACCCTAAAACACAAAACGGACGAATCGAAGTTCTCAAAGAAACACACAAAGTCCCAACGAAAATAAACCCTGAAAAACAGCAAGAAAGTGATATCGAGCGAGGGCTTCTCGGAAATGGAACAAGATGAAATCAGAAGAAAAGGAATGGGAGCAAAAGGCGATTCAAAATATCAATCTGGCCATTAAGCGAAAGCTGAGAGAGAATCCGAGGAAAATGAAATGGAGAAAAATGAGAAGCTGAGCTTTTATGGATTGAAACTGAGAGAGCAGATGTGGTGGGAGTGGGAAGAAGAAGAGGAGGCAACCATGAAAGGATGATGACCCCGCTTTGTGTTTAGCATTTTGTTTCCTTCTTTCTTTCTTCTTCTTTGTTTTTTCAATTTTTTTATGAAAAAAAAAACTAAAATAAAAATCGGAAGAAGATAAAGACATGGATAATTTAATATATAATATCTTCGAATTTTTTTATGTAGATGGATAAATGATAAATCATGACCGGGTCTCCATAATCCAGTTTTAGGCTTTTTACCAAATTAATAACAAAATTTTATGTAAATGATGTATTTTTTTTTTAACCAGAGCTTATGTTATATTATTGAAGAAAAAAACCAGCTAATAGTTTATTCTATGTTTTTTTAAAGAAAAAAATTAGGCTATAGAAAATTTACAAAATGGATAAATAATAGTTTTGTGGAGGGAAGGAAATGAATGGATAGAGGCTGACATAAGACGTTGCTGGACCTCATGACACGCGGGAGTGGATTCCATTAATGGATATTTTATATATAAAATAATAAAACGCTCTGTTGTTTTGCGTTTTATCATCTGTTGCTTTCACAAGTGAAGAAAAGATTCGAGTCTTTAATGTCAGTATGTCACAAAGAGACCACAAAGCTTATTAAATTTTCACTATAACAATGCAATTCTATAACAACAATTAAAAAAGACAGAGATGATAGATGATTCTAACGGAGTCTTTGATATAAATATGCATCAAAATACGGATCCGCTGCCTTTAGTTTTGCCGAGCATCACGTCTTTAGCTTCATTGATCTTAGAGGCAAGGAAATGGCTACCACCAGCATCTGGATGGTTTGCAACCATCACTTTCCTGTGTGCTTCCTTCACCTTCTCAGGAGGAACGTTCTCCCTGTGTTTCCAATCCCAAACACAAATTTTTAAACACTGTACAGTTTTGGTCTTTAGCAAACTGATCACAAATTAGTATGTAAACTTCACCTGATGCCAAGAATGAGAGCAGCTTCTCTTTTTGTCATCGTAGGCTGGAAACCACCGTCGTAGAATTTCTTAATCTTGGGCCTTGGTGGTCTTGCCTTGAATGCTTGCCACGCTTGGATTCCATATCTACCCGCAAGTGCAGTCGCAGCTACTGCAAGTCCAGTCAAAAATGGGGTCGCCTGATGCACCAAAACACATTACCACATTATACATTTTTTGTATGCTTAATTCTTCTTTACGTCATCGTCCATTGTTCTTTCAGTTTTCAAGATCCATAAGAGCCAGAGATAAGCAAAGAAGGGAAACTAAATGGAACTAGGACACACGCATATGCATTCATGAAACAAGTTTTAACAGCAGACTTTTAACAGGGATAGATCTTAAATCGTAGCTTGACTCAAACCAAACACAGACTCTTCAAGAAGGACTCTCATTACCTTATTATTTTTTAACATGTTTTGAGATTCCAAACTCAGACTCTTCAAAGATCTAATGACAAGAGCCAGGGTGGGTATTAATAGAATTATCGATTTAGCTTAAGAATATCCTGCAAAATCATGATCTCTCTTGACTAATTAAAATGTAACGCCGATTGATTTCACAAATCTAGTGTAAACATGATTTGAGATTCCAAACGTAGGCATATAAAGAAATCCAAAAAAAAAAAAAAAAAACCAAGACTTGAGCAGACCCATAAGCAGCAACTAGATTGGCTCAATTGTAAACAAGGGTGGATTTTGAAAAATGCAGATGACTCATGACTTCTATAGTTCTCCAACATCGAATCGCAGGATAAGTTTGAAACAAACGGTTGACCTGTACTAAACAGAGCCTAATTCATGAAACGAAAGCAGATGGCGAATCTGAATTTAAACCTAATTTCTGGAAGAGAGTATTGCTCCAAATTACCATTCAGAAATCTGTGATTATTCGTTTCATCCACAGATTTGTTTGGAGTCGATTCCTCCAAAATTGGATCTGCGAAGGCTTCAGTGGTGGTGAGTCACCGGTGCCGTCAGAGCTCTCCGATCGCCGTAACCAATATGGAACTAGACTGTAATCGATCAAAAGCCTTAGAGTTGGAGGATAACCGGTTTTTAACGCCAGCCGGTTAACCTCTGACCGGTTATGTAATTTTTCTTTTTTTTAATAACACTCATGTTATTCTCATCTTTCAAAGCAAACATCTTCACCAAATAAGGTAAACTTGCTGATTTTTCAGGATACATATGTAATAAAGCCCTGAGAATTAACATCTTTTCTACATCAAAAGAGCTTACTAAGCATTTTAAAACTCTTTTCTTATTTGGCAATTTCGGGTACTAGCGACGAGTAAGAGAGGTCCAAGGATCCAAAAGAGCTACAAACCCAGTAAAGTATGATAAAGAACAGGAAAATGGAAGTTAAATCACAAGTTCTTGAAAGCAGAGTCATGTGCATCCTTTGGAGGAGTAAGCCTGGCCAACAATGCCTTGTTGGGACAATGATCTGCATCCACAAAGTAGTAATTCCCATCAGCCTTGAAGCTCACATAAGGCCTTTGCGTGTCTGGATAACGTATGTCAGAGAATTTCAGTGTCTTTGGTGTGAATGTGGCAAGCCAAGTCATCATCTCGACCTCAAAGGTGTCTGAACCAGGCTGCCACCTCAGCTTGTGCACGTAGGGGCTAACGAACCAGTGGAGAGCAGCGGTTGTGAATGCGCTGAGGAAGATCACCGTGGAGGCAACAGCACCTTTCATGATCACGTTCAAACCCGGTGAAGTCATGAAAGTGATGACTGGGCCAAGGGAAACAGAGAGACAGCAAGTGGAGAGTGAGAGGAGTTTCACATTCTTTATGGTTGATGAGATTGGGCCATAGTAAACCACACCTCCTCCTTCTCCTCCTTCTTCTTTCTTCTCTTGGGGACCGATGCTGATCTTGTGCTCATCATCATCTTCTCTAGTCTTTGCTCCAGATGATGCCCAGCTTCTCTGGTTAAGGGATGGAAACTTAGGGAAACTGGCCTTAGGGATCACTGATGATGATGATGATGACCATGTCCCTGCTATCGACCGATGATATCCTGAAAAAAGATGTAAGAATTCTGATGCTTGATGAGTCTCAGTCATTCATCTAAATACTTTAATTGTAAGACACTAACAAACATGGAATTCGACCAAATAGTTAGACTCAATATCGGTAAAGTAGATAGCTTTGGAGACTGATAGAATAAAAGATCTGATCTTGTGACCATTTTTGACCTTTTAAGAATAATACAACAGCAAGCTCGCAAAAACAATATCAATGAGATCTAGATATATTGCCTTAACGACTGCTAAGACTCAAAGATACTTTAACGGAGCTGAAAAAAAATCCTAGCTTTCTATTTCTCATCCAAATGAAGCTATGGTGGATCATGCTCAAGTCAATTTCAAATCCATTGCAGTTTACTGAATCAGGTCAGATCAAGCAAATTACTTTGACCATATAATCGGAAAAGGGGAGAACAGAATCAAGAGAGAGGTTTTTTGCATTTGAACAGAAAACCCATAAAGCCAATAGCTGCCATTTCTACTCTAGAACCGTACGAACGGGTGCTTCCCGTAAAAATATCTAACAAAACCATGATCGAGCTTTCTTCCGGCGAAGAAAACAAATCTTGTTTACTGGAGAGATAAAGAAACCTGTATTGAAGGTCGAGGAAGAGAGACGCCGAGATTGGGAGCGAATCAAGTGAATCAAAGCTGATCTTCCCATCGCCGTTCTGTTGCTCGTCTGCAGAAGTCAAATTCCCCTCCAAATGAATGTTTTAGGGTTTTAGAGGTTTATGAGTAATCTTTCATATATTTTGGAAAATTAGGATAATTTTCAGTGGTCCAGTGGCGAGAGAGTTGCTCGTCTTAAAGCTAATGTATCGAGTTCGAATCTTTGTTTTACTACATTTCCTTCACATCTGTCATTTTCTGTTGTACTGTGAATATAAAAGTATACAGTAAAAAAACACTCTTCTTTTTTTGGTCATTTCATCATAGTAAAAGTATCAACTATACAACTAATTTAGAATGGAAAGAAGAAAATGCAATTTTGTAACAAACATGCAAGTTTCATGAAGATAGGAATCGGTTGATGATACGTATATTGGCACTGGCATGGTTAAAAAAAAAAAGAAGTCAATGCTGTTATTATCACTCAGTTATTAAATAATAAATACTCTATGATTTTGTTGTAATCAGACGTTGAGATCTTCACCATGTCTGGACGATTCCTTGTCGTCTTCTTCCTTGTTCTACTCCCTTTCGCGTCTTGTTGCAGAGACGAACAAGAAAAGGATCGAATCTCGCACCTTCCAGGCGAACCCAACGATGTCTCCTTCTCTCACTTCTCTGGTTACATTACGGTCAACGAGTCAGCAGGAAGAGCGCTCTTTTATTGGCTCACCGAGTCACCACCGAGTCAACACCCCGAGTCGAAGCCACTTGTCCTCTGGCTCAACGGTGGCCCTGGCTGCTCCTCCATCGCTTTTGGCGCTGCTGAGGAAATCGGTCCCTTTAGGATCAATCCTGATGGCAAAACCCTTTACCACAATCCCTACGCTTGGAACCAATGTATCTCTCTCTCTCTCTATCTCTCCATTTCTATTCATTTTCTCACTCTGAAATTTTCTAATTTAGCTCTCTCTGTTTCTTCTTCCTCAGTGGCGAATTTGCTATTCCTTGAATCTCCAGCTGGTGTTGGTTTCTCGTATTCGAATACCACCTCCGATTTGTACACTGCCGGAGATCAGAGAACCGGTAAAAAAGCTCTTGACTTTGACCTCTATCTCTTCTCTTGATTCGAATTCATCATTCATCTCACTGTGTTTCTGGTTAATTTCGCAGCTGAAGATGCGTATGTGTTTCTTGTGAAATGGTTTGAGAGGTTTCCGCAATACAAGCATAGAGAATTCTACATAGCTGGAGAAAGCTATGCAGGTCGTTATGATCGAAATTTATTCAATTAGAAACCTTTTTTTTCTTTCATCAAGCTAGCTTGACAATGGAATTCTTGATTTCCTCTCTAGGTCATTATGTTCCTCAGTTGTCACAAATTGTTTATCAGAAACGCAATCCGGCTATCAACTTCAAAGGCTTCATTGTAAGCAAAGAAAAAAAAATAGCACAAAAATCTAATCAAACAAAAAAAAAACATGATTTTTTAGTGTGAGTTTCTTCATATTTTAGGTGGGGAATGCTGTGATTGATGATTACCATGATTTCGTGGGTTTATTTGAATATTGGTGGACTCATGGTTTGATATCTGATCTCACTTACCACAACTTACGGATCACATGTGAATTTGTATCATCCGAACACCCATCCCCTGAATGCAGCAAGGCCATGGAAGCTGCAGACAAGGAGCAAGGTGGTATTGATCCCTATAGCATTTACACTATCACTTGTAAGAAGGAGGCTGCAGCTCTTAGGTCCCGCTTCTTGAGAGTTCGTCATGTGAGTTTTCTCATCATTGCCCATCATTTTAACCCCTTCAGCTACTATTCCCATCATTTTAGCTTTTTTTTTATGTCCAAACAGCTCTGAGTGGTGTAGCTTTTACAGGGACATGACATGCAGAATTGGCTTTGTAGCCTGATTATAGCCTCCCTTATGTGATTCCAGATACAAAATGACCAATATATGAGCCTCACATGAAACCTTGTTTCTCATTTCAACAAATAGATAATGATACATACATAGATTAGTCCAATCAGGTAGATATTTGGACTGCAAACAGATTCTCTTTCTCTGTCACTTAAATCTAGTTCATTGTCCGAGCATGCTAAATGCCCTGTTTCATTGCCGACCATGTTCAAGGCACAGTCCATATGTAACGGATTTGACAAATTTCTAATCTTGCTAGCTTTGTTTTCTCAACTCAGCCATGGATGTGGAGAGCATATGACCCTTGCACAGAGAGATACTCCAGCACGTATTTCAATTCTCCGGAGGTTCAAAAGGCTATGCATGCTAATACAACCGGACTTGCTTATCAATGGAAAACGTGCAGGTAACAACACATTAATGGCTTATCAAATTTACAAGAGATTTTCTCTTGTTTCCATGTGCAGTAACATAGTTGTGTTGTTTTAGTGACATAGTAGGAGAAAAATGGTCAGACTCTCCTCTATCTATGCTTCCAATCTACAAAGAACTCATTGCCGCAGGTATCAGAATATGGGTTTTCAGGTATATCTAATTCTCTTTCTTATCAAACTGTCTTGTATCTTTCCCGGTTTGGTATTATGATGATATATTGGTCCATAAATTTGGATGCAGTGGAGACACTGATTCAGTGGTTCCCGTGACTGGAACTCGATATTCCATTAGAGCCCTCAAGTTACCACCAGTCTCCAAATGGTACCCTTGGTACGACAATGGACAGGTATAGAAGAAGCAACAATACCAAATAAAAAATAAGAGTTTTAATTCTCTGTTTCTTTTCCTTCTTCTGCGAGATCAACTAATGTATGACTGAAACAACAGGTTGGTGGGTGGAGCCAAGTTTACAAAGGGCTGACTCTGGTGACAATACATGGAGCAGGGCACGAGGTACCTCTTCACCGTCCTCGTCGAGGTTTCCTTCTTTTTAAATCGTTTCTAGCCAATAAGCCAATGTAAGTTCAAGACACTGCATGGGTGTGATAGGACCAGAGTTTCTGTTCATTGGCACTGCTAGCACAGAAACCTTCAGGTTCTGAGAGTCTTTGTCCTATGCAAATGCTAAGAAATTCGCACTCTCATGTGTTCTTCTTCTCTTATTCATTGTTTAATTTAAAAGCTTTGAGTAAATATTAATTTAATTTGATCTGATATTATAAGTAGAGAGATAATAATAATGAGTGTTGTCTGTCGGTGTGTGTATTGCTTAACTGCTACCATTAAACCAAGGCTTTCCGTTGCTTTTCTTGGTACACAAGAAAACGAGTAAGACACACGGTTTTGTATTCTACTTAATACATAATCGGATGTCTAATTTTAGGGAATGCATTTAATCAGGCACATGATCATCTTTGGGATTAATGAACACCTCTTTATGTTTTTTTTGTTTTTTTTTAAACTAACTAATATCCAAAACTAGATAATAGAATTGTTAAGAAAATAAAAAAAAATAGAAAACAGAAACAAAAGGGTAGGACAAAGGGAACACAAAATAAAGGTTATGGTCCAACAAGATCGGCCGTTAGGTGAAACTAAAGTGAAAATTATGATCGGACAAACCATTAAATGTCAAACAAAATCGGCTTACCAATTAAACCAACTCAATTAACTAATTCTTGTGATATACGCATTTTAAATGGTTATCGTTGTTTATAGATTAAGGACTGGAAAAATCCTACTTTATATTAAAAAGTTCATCCCTGCAGAGACGATATACATCTCTCCATGTGAAATACATGACTAAATTACGGTGTAAGCAAGCAATGCCTAGCTTTTAAGTCAAAGTCAAGCAATATAATGATATTAGCAAATTACGAAACTTCTAAAATTGAACAGAGCAGTTTACTATTATGACAATGACTATGCAACGATAAAAATGAATAAGATTCACATAATTTTATTATCAAGATGAGATAGGCATACAAGATACCAAAGAATAACAATCACAATAATGTGTAGAAACTAGAGATATATACAAGTGGTCAAAATACTCAATCTACAAGTAAGCTAATTTGACTGTATGCATTATATTATCAACAGTTTACTGATAAATCATATTAAAATACACCACATGATCCCTAAAAATGGCATAAGTTGACAACGACCCTCACTTTTAAAAAATTGACAAATTATTCTATAAAAATCATCGAGGTGGAGAAATGACAGACTCCCAAGAAACTAACAACCGAAGATACTATACACACAAAAGAAAAAGGAAAACAAAAAAATCACTTTCTTTGTTTGATGTTGATGCTGATGATGAGCAGAAAGTGGAAACTATATCAATGTATGTGTTTGTTATGCATGGTCATTGCATTATTAGACGTAGTGACTAGTAGTGATGATGCTAAGGAGCAAAAGATGAAGGACAAGATCATCTCTTTGCCAGGCCAACCTCCTCAACTCAATTTCTCTCAATTCTCTGGCTACGTCACTGTTGATTCCGCTGCTGGACGTGCTCTCTTTTATTGGCTAACCGAAGCCCCTAGGCCCAGCGGCACCAAACCGCTAGTCCTATGGCTCAATGGTGGTCCTGGATGCTCCTCCATCGCCTACGGTGCATCTGAGGAGGTTGGTCCCTTTAGAGTTAATCCAGACGGAAAGACTCTTCGTCTAAATATCTATGCTTGGAACAAAGGTACTTTTTAATTTTATTTGTAGTTATATATGAATACACATCAACTATCTGATTAGTGATCATAGTTAGTTAATTCAATCAATAATAATGGTTTGCAGTGGCAAATGTATTGTTTCTGGATTCACCTGCGGGAGTTGGTTTCTCTTACACAAACACTTCGTCAGACGAACTAACAGTGGGAGACAAGAGGACAGGTCTTGTAATATATATAACAGACTTTTTACGTAGTTTCATAATTATAAGAAAGTGCTAATTAATTATTGTACATTATTAACTAATATATGTGATATGAACAATGAAATGTGAGCACAGGGGAGGATACTTACAAATTCTTGGTGAGATGGATTGAGAGGTTCCCTGAGTATAAAGAAAGGCCTTTTTACATCGCCGGCGAGAGCTACGCCGGTACTCTCTTTCTTCCTTCATTTAATTATTACATTTTTTATTCTTTGTTTATTTAATTTATTTAGATAAAATATTTGTTAAAACTACTCAAAATATTTGTCATGTGAGATATACATATGCAATCCAACCAATTATAAGCAGTTGAACCAAATGATGGTGATATTTAGTACCATGGAACGTTTATGTACAAAAATTAAGAAAAATACTAATTCAGAGGAATAGTGGTTTTTTGTAAAACATGGTTCCAAAAGAAAAGAAGGCAGATCAATCAACAACAACCTAGTTGACTTTTCTTTTATGACCAAATTAAGTCTTTACTACTGACACCATATTCATATGAATGAATACGAAGATTCTAGTGTTAATTATGACGTTGCTGCTGGAACTACCATATACTTACCACTTGCCCATAGGAACTAGGAAGGATAAGCTTGATGGTCAATAATGGCAATGTGATCTTATTACATTGGGTTTTGTTGTATTTGGTGATTAATTAGGACATTATATTCCGGAGTTAGCTCAATTAATCGTCAGCCGTAACAAGGGTGCCAAAAAACCCATTATCAATCTAAAAGGGATCCTGGTATGAATCAATAAGTATACTCATTAATCAACTAATATAATACTATTTTGAATACTAAAGTGAATGTTTACATAAATATGAAAAAAAAAAATGAAAGATGGGAAATCCTCTAGTGGATGATCACAACGACAACAAAGGGATGCGTGAGTATTGGTGGAACCATGGGCTCATATCAGACGAAAGCTACAAGGAACTGACCAAATGGTGCCTCAACGACTCCATCCTCTTCCCTAAACCCAACTGCGACGCTGCATTAAACCAAGCCTACTCTGATTTTGGTGACATCGATCCTTACAACATAAACCGCCCTGCCTGCACTAAAGGTTCATCGTCAAATGAATGGAGGCAAGCATGGAGATATAGAGGGAATGATGAGTGTGTTGTGGGATATACACGCAAGTATATGAACGATCCCAATGTTCACAAAGCCTTCCATGCCCGCCTTAACCGCACTTCTTGGACTCCTTGTAGTCGCGTGATAAGAAAGAACTGGAAAGACTCACCCAAGTCCATGCTTCCCATCCTCAAGGATCTTCTTCAATCTCATCTCCCCATTTGGATCTTCAGGTATAATACTTTAATTATGTATACGTTAATACGTGTTGTGGTTTAGTATAGGACAAAAATATTAAATTTCATGAGCTTCTAACTCAAAATCAATTGATTCATGTGTCTTATACATTACTATAGGTCTTATCTTTAAAAAAAAAAAATTTTAAATTTGTGTGGATTGGTATGTATATATATAGCGGAGACTCGGACGCAGTGTTGCCGCTAAGTGGGACGAGGCATTCGATAAATGCAATGAAATTGAGGACAAGCAAAAGATGGTATCCATGGTACCATTCACAAGGCCTAGTGGGAGGGTGGAGCCAGGTTTACGAGGGTGGCTTGCTAACTTATGCCACGGTTAGAGCCGCCGGGCATGAGGTGCCATTGTCACAGCCTCGTCTCGCTTTTTTCCTCTTCTCTCATTTCCTCGCTAACCACTCACTTCCCTCTTCTTGATTACTTTTTTTCTCCCTCTACTTTTCACTGTCTTCTTTTTTTTTTCCTTACCTTTCACTTTGAATTTTGTAAACATCATTTGTTCTACTCATTATATTGTACCTAAAGAGATATATAAATGGGTATTGTTATAGTAATTGGCCTCATCGCTATTGTTGGACCTTGTGTTTTAGTGTTCCCACGTTGATCCATCTTTCATTAGATGGTATTTCAACAAATTAGCAAATGAATCTGTTTGTATGCATGAGTTGTAATAACTTAGAAGACAAACATAGAATTTTGACTCTCTTTCTTATAATTTTAATTTAAAATAAAGTAATATATAGAGATCAAATTCTTATTCAATTAAGAAAAATGTTTCCAATCCCAAGTCCCCAACTCCTTCGCTCATAAACAGATATTTTAGAGGCCCCATTCCCTACAAAAGAAACCAAAAATGAATTATTCATATATACATAGATAAAGGAGTAAGTAGTTATGGAAATGTTATTTTCGTTCTAATGCTTATAGTTTCATAATCATGAGCTTGTTAAAAACGTAACAACGATCACAAAATGTTCTATGTATTACAGAATCTTGAATCATGATTAGAAGGTAGTTTAGAGAGCTAAAACCGAATTGAAAAAACATACTTGGCTTTACCACCGAACCAGTTGTAGACGGATTTGGCGGTGGAGGAGACGGAATCGACGGCAGGACCAGCATGTTTATTGAAGAAGTTGGTAACGTCGTTGGTGGCTGTGTCTAGCCTTTGTCCGATCGTTGGTGTTTCCTCAGCGGAAGACAACACCGACACAAGCAGCATCATCGACAACACCAAAGCCACCTTCTTCTCCATCCGGTCCGATTGAAAACGTAGATTCTTTCTTATTCTTTTTTTATTAAAAGGAAAAAATGATTCTTAAATAACTTTACTTGATGGATTTTTTTTTTCCTTTTTAGAAAAAAAACTACATGCCCTTATTGTGTCTATATATAACTTGCTTTTTCTGGTCACGTCTTACGTCTATATATAACTATTAGTTTTTGGGAGTTTTGTTGAGTTTTGGCGAGGTAATTATTTTGATGAGAAGGAGATGAATGAAGTTAAGTTAAAACTTAAAAAGTTGGATGGTTATTAAGTAAATGAACCTAAATTAGATGAAACAAATCAATTTTTCCTTTTTGTTTTGGGTGGTTGGAAACCACAGTTATTTTGTTTGGTTTCAATTTCATACGAAACCTAAAAAAAAATTGTCAACGGATTCTTTCGAGCAATATACACACTGGAAACTAAACCAGCACATAACGTAAAGAGACGAGTGGAATGTCCCAAGACACATGGGTATGTGTGATCTTCATAATCCTCTTGATTGACTAAGTCCTGCAATCTTTGCTTTGCAAAAGCTCTGTTTTAACTGAAAGATTATGGTTTTGAACAATCTATCTCCAACTTTTCTCTTTTCACATTAGCATATATATAGAGACTCGTTATCAAACTACAATTCTGATGATTATAGTGCAAATGAGATCATGACAGTAGAGTAATGGACGGTATACACATTGAGAAAGGGTACACAAGACCACAATATTTAACACAAGTTCCACTAACAAGATTAGTCCAAGACCAGTATTGGCCTTGATCTTCACCACCGTGAGCCTTGCTGAGCTTTGTTACCGCCATACAAACGAAAGAGAGCAAAAGCAGAAATGGAAGAGATCAAAACCATTCCGATGCTAGCAAGCAAGGCGGTCGCAATTCCTTCACCAACTTGGTTACAGAACTTCCCATAGATTGTGCATATCTTCATCCATTGGAGCTCTGGCTCACCCAGCTTCGCAAATGCCGCAGACTGCGCCGCTGCTGCAACTCCCGCTACGGTCAAGTATGCTATAGCCTGCTTATACGTACATAACAAAAGTTCATTGGCAAAGCCGCTTATACAAGCTACATTTTTTTGTCTCAAAAAGGGGTTATTTGTTTGTCTTCAAAAACAAAGACCAATTCAATTTTCTTGCTTTGATTTAGAATTAGAAGGACCATCTGAGATCATCAACATTCTATGCAGGGAGCTTAAATACATTGTTTGCTCCCTTAAATGGACCCTCTTTGTATCTTTAGTTATTTAAGACCAAATCTGGAAGATTGAAACCTAAATTCTGTAAAACTCTTGTGCCCTACTAAACATATGAAACTCATGATACACCAAGGTAGACTTCTAAATAGCTCAAGCAACGAACTTTTCAAATCGTCCTGAGCATAACAAGCAAGAACAGAGCAACATATTGATTGAGCAAAAAAAAACAAGAGACTCACCTGATCTCCAGAGAAAATGGCCCAAGCCAGAGGCTTACTGAACAAAACGCTTCCTTTCATCATACCCACCACGCAACGAACCATGTGCAACAAAGAATAAGCCGCGGCTATACCATTGACCACCACCAAAAACCTGAGCTCGTCGGAGAAAGAAAGAAAGATCGTCGCTTTAAAAAAAAAAAAAAACGCAAGCTTTATGCAAATTTTGGAATCGATTGATTGAGGAGCTTACACAAGGGCCTTCATGTCGGTGTATTTGGCCTTCTTCTGGATGGTGAAAATCTCCTTAACTTGGGTGTCTGTAGCAATGAGAATCGCAGCGACGAGAGCAAGGGCACAAACGGAACACCTCAGGATCAGCTCCGTGAGTCTCACTTTTCGATCCATCAGCTTCATTTTGGTTCCGGCGACGTTTACGGGACTGAGTCCGACTCCTAAATAACTCATCTTTATCACTAATCTTGATTACTTATATAGAGAAAGATGGAGATTTAGTGAGAAGAGGCACTGTAGATACATTGATTTGTTGTTGGCTCCTTTGTTGCTTTTAAAAGCACTGTTTCAGTACAGAGCACCGTGTGGCTCACAAATAAAATACTAAAATTACATTAATTGCAAATTAGAGACTATGATATAAAGGTAGTAGAGTTGACAATTTATTTAGAGATTAATGAAATCCGTGACTATCTCCTACCCCTAAAACTAAGGGTGCTAATCATTCCAGTTTTTTCCTTTTTGGGGTCAGTTTCAACTTCACACTCATCCAATAGTGATCATCACACAATAGGTTTATCACCTCAAACTAATTTGTTTTCACCCATTTTGGCACAATAATATAAAGCCTATATGTACATAATTCATATAAATGAAAGATATACTTCTAGCAACTCTATCGGCCATTCCGTCTCTTGAATATCTTGAATCGTTTGCATTATTTATTCGATGGTTTCCTTTTCACTAATTTTATTTGATTGCTTTTTCAAAAGTTAAATAAACAGAATCACAAGTAACTCTATAAACAAATATGAATGATTTTGGAATTTGATTATGGATGAAACGGAGGTCCCAAAAGGTGCCAAGTGGCGTGGAAGAGAGATGTTCGTGGAACCAAAACCATGTGCCCATCCCTAGTCACTACACGTTTTTTCTAAGTTTTTAAAATTACTAGAAAGATTTGGGATATTATTATATGATGAAAACGAAACGAAAAGAAAATAAAATAGGAAGAGTGAAAACGAAATATTGGGAGGTTAGCAGTTAGAGCATTTAAGGGCACATAATTTATAGATGGAGACGGAGTTATGAAAGTGAAATATGAGAGTGAGGTGCTTTGTTTTTTTCTAGGAACGTCGAACGTGGAAAAGAGTTATGTCCAATGAATTTAGTACTATTATTTATGAAGATTCCTCCACCGGCTAGCTCTTTTGATGTAACAACACCATTTGAATTTTGCGTATTTATAGAGATCTCATGCAGAATATTAGGATATTTTGGAATGAACAACTACGATTATATTATTCAGCGGATAAAGAGAAAGAAAGAGACAAACGATCTCGGATCTCGACCCACAAAATGATGATCATTATTTGAGGAAAATAGTTATTTCGAAAACTGTTCAAAACCACGGAAAAAAATAATTTTAGAAAAAAAAAATATACAAAAAATAGGTGTGAAATGAGTACTGAGACAAATGCATCGAATTGTGGGGTTGGTGGACTATGGAAGTGCTTGGGGTTGGTTAAAAGTTAATTCTTGTGTAATCATGGTTTTCTCCTTCACCACCATAGTCCATATGACCCTAATTACTAATGGTGGCAAACACGACTTATAAGATGGTTATCTCCTTCACCACCAACATTAATTATTTGTTATTACCATGAACATCATTTGTCATCTTTCAATCAGTTCAAGGCGCAGAGGAAGAAAAAATCAATTATCTTATGAGATGCGAGATAAAGAGTCTCATTCGCATATATAATCCCGTTACTTTTCATAAAATATCTTCTTTTCAGATTTCTGGTGAACGTGGAATTGATTATAAACGCCAAAGTTGCCAAGAAAAATAAAGTTTGATTAAATTCCTCAAAATTTATAAAGTCAAGGCCACCTTCCTCCTCCAAAAATACAACTTATCCCATGCAATCCCCTCGTGTAATTTGAATGGCTCTCTCTAAAAAAACAAATAAATAAGAAAAATATTGGGCTACAATTGGGCTTTTTTAGCAAGATAAACATGGGCCAACTAACATAAGGCGTGTAATATATTGGCGGTGTGAATCTCTCTCTAGGGCTTCCGATGCCCTAACATGTCTGGTATATATACGCGTCACGAAACTTCTTTCCCCTCATCTCCTCTTCTTTCTCCTAAATCAGTAGTTCATTGTCTTGTTAGCTTCTTTTTTCTTTTCTGTCTTTCGTTTGATCTTTTTATGCAGTTTATTAATATGATCTTGCTTGCTAGTGACGTGATTTCTCTCCAAGAAATCTTTTACTTGAAAAAGTTTGGGGCAATCTGAAACTGTGGTTGCATAACCCAAAAGTAAACGTCAAAAAGAAAAAAGTGTAAGCCGAGGACGTAGAAGGAGCCTTATGGCTTCTCCGTCTAAAGTATCAACACTGGCTCTCATATTCCATTGCTTTGCGGAGCGGCGTCGCTGCGTTTACCGTTTGGGCCGGCCATGAGAGCTACATTCCCTTTTCTCTTCTTTTTTTCTTTTTTTGAAATTATGTTTTTTGAATTTGTGTTTAAGCCTATGAGGACATCAGATTTTAAAAGAACACCATCTTTCGGGACTGATCAACTTTTGATGATATTTCTGCAATTCTGAGGCTAATTTTGATTTTTAGATTTGTTTTGTTTCATTAGAATAAGAAGGCAGTGATGATTGAGTTTGTCATGCACCACTCTGATTCGTGCTGATAACCATCTCTAACCCATATTTTATCTGAGCCTTTTATGTTAGTTAGATTTTTGATTTTGATAGATGGAATGGGAAACATAACCAAATGATGGTCAATTTATTGACTTGACCTTGATGCGGACTGTATAGCTTTATTGCTTTTTGATGAAACTATTTGGTTCCTGATGGTTTTTACCCATTTCCTGATCTTGTTTTTATATAATTCTGGTTTTTATATGATATGATTAATTGGATTGTGAATGTGCGGTGTTGCGATTATTGGTCGTTGCAGGCGTTTTGGTGGTTACGAAGTACCCGCGGAGGAGTCATCAATTCGCAGCATATAGATTAGATTGTTTTTATAATTTTGTATCTTTGGATTAGTATAGCAGCATATATATATATAGATATATATGTTGTATGAATTGTATGAAGATAATAAAGACTTGCAGTTTATCACTTTCGTATGATCTTACGAGTGAGTCCAATAATCGGTGACTTTTGTACTATAATATACGATGACAACTCATTAAACTGAGACTGTTGAAATTTCAAATTTGAAAACTTTGTTTTCAGTATTATGCTACTGAATTGGCCAAATTTATTCTCTGAGATCGTTAATTTCTGAATTACTTCATTTTAAGTGTTCTCAAATCAAAATTTCTCACATTAGCATCAATTTGTCCGAAAAGGGTGCAAATGTTTTGACTATATATGTTCCAAAAATAGTACTAAAGAGATAAAGTTTTGACCTGTTGAATTCAGAAGATACATCTAAACAAAAATTTTACTCTACCAGTCAGCAAACGGTTTTCAGTTAAACTGGTGATAGAACCTGATGTGTTGTCTTCAAACTGTCCCATTGTTCTATAAATAATTAATTATACCTTTTTCGATGCCAATCACTTTCTCTTCCTAACCTCATTCTTTAGGAATCTTGACATCTTTTCTGAACTAAACATTCACGATCGTTGCAAGGTTTAGAGAAAACTTAATTTGAGTTTTTATCAACCAGGTAATGCTTTCTTATTTGCCTATGTGAGCAAGTTTATTAGTAAAAATGAATAATGTGCGTTCTACTAAGTTGATGATTGTGGACAGACAGAGAATGGCGAAGACAGAGGAGATACATTTCATGGAAATGTGGAGGACGACATGGGAGACACCTTACATTATGCGGCTAGCTCTCTCGGCCGGTATTGGAGGTCTTCTCTTCGGTTACGACACTGGAGTCATCTCGGGAGCTCTTCTCTACATCAAAGAGGAGTTTAATGAGGTAGACAACAAGAGATGGCTCCAGGAGTTGATTGTGAGCATGACCGTGGCTGGAGCCATTGTTGGAGCGGCTATAGGAGGATGGTACAACGACATGTTTGGAAGAAAGATGTCCATTCTCATCGCAGACGTGCTCTTCTTGGTCGGTGCAGCTGTGATGGCGTCTGCTCCTACGCCTTGGTTCATCATCCTAGGCAGACTCTTGGTTGGTTTTGGGGTTGGTATGGCTTCAATGACCTCACCGCTTTACATATCAGAGATGTCTCCAGCGAGAATCAGAGGTGCGTTGGTCAGCACCAATGGACTTCTCATCACCGGAGGACAGTTTCTTTCTTATCTCATCAACCTCGCCTTCGTCCATGTAACCAATCCAAACTCCAAAACCAAAACTAACTCATTGAAAAATGCCATTTTTCAAGATTTACTGATCAGTCTTGGAATTTTGAAACGCAGACACCAGGGACATGGAGGTGGATGTTGAGAGTCTCGGCTATTCCTGCAATCATTCAGTTCTGCTTGATGCTGACTCTGCCTGAGTCTCCTCGGTGGCTTTACAGAAACGAGAGGAAAAGTGAGTCTAGAGACATCCTCGAGCGGATATACCCTGCGGAGGAAGTTGAAGCGGAGATTTCTGCACTCAAAGAGTCTGTCATGGCAGAGACGGCTGATGAAGATATCATTGGCTACACCTTCTCCGCTAAACTCAGAGGAGCTCTCTCCAACCCTGTCGTCCGTCAAGGTCTAGCAGCAGGTATCACCGTCCAGGTCGCACAGCAGTTTGTGGGAATCAACACAGTCATGTACTACAGTCCTACAATTCTGCAGTTTGCAGGTTACGCCTCGAACAAGACAGCCATGGCTTTGTCACTCATAACTTCAGGTCTCAATGCGGTAGGCTCGGTAGTGAGCATGATGTTCGTTGACCGTTACGGTCGGCGCAAGCTTATGATCATTTCCATGTTCGGTATCATATCTTGTCTTGTCATTTTGGCTGCCGTCTTCTCTGATACCTCAACCCACTCTCCCAAGATCGATAGCAGAGACTCTAGAATGTTCGCTTTAAACGCTACTTGTCCTGCGTTTGCTCCTTACACAGCCTCCAACGCTCCTCCCTCTAACTGGAACTGTATGAAGTGTCTTAGATCCCATTGTGGATTCTGCTCAAACAGAGCACAAGAGGTAAAACATTAGCCTCTTTAATCAAAACACACATAAAGAGATAGTAGTAGCTAAGATTCATGAGTTTGTTGTAACAGTACGCACCTGGAGCATGCGTTGTTCTGTCAGCTGAGATGAAGGCATTATGCCACACTAAAGGCCGAACATACTTCAAAGACGGATGTCCCAGCAAGAACGGGTACTTGGCCATCGTCTTCCTCGGTCTCTACATCATTGTGTATGCGCCTGGTATGGGGACAGTCCCATGGATTGTCAACTCTGAGATCTATCCTCTTCGCTACAGAGGGCTCGCGGGAGGGATCGCTGCAGTCTCAAACTGGTCGTCAAATCTCGTCGTGAGTGAGACGTTCCTGACACTGACACACGCGGTCGGGTCATCAGGAACATTCCTTCTCTTTGCAGTGTCATCGGCAATAGGGCTGTTCTTCATCTGGCTTCTTGTGCCTGAGACCAAAGGGCTTTAGTTTGAGGAGGTGGAGAAGTTGCTAGAAGACGGGATAAGGCCTAGTTTGTTTCGAGCCAGGACTATGGCTATGCAAGTGGATACGCCTTAGCCGCTTCGTCTGGCTGCAAAGGCAAACAACAACACTTATAGATGTGCTCATTACAGCTGAGAATCGAAATGACCTAACACCAAAGATAGACCAGCATAGAGTTGAAAGATCCGACGATGGCTGCAAATCAAAAACAAATCCAATTCTGCAAAAGAGTGAAAAACACTTAAGCTTCAGTTGAGCCACATTTGATATGAAGCTAATGGAGCAAACAAGAAAACGTAGCAAGCCGTTGATTCTGTTTATGATTTGTGTAATGCAGGTTTATCTCGTTTAGTACCAATAGCCTGTTCAATTGGCCTCAAGCGATGAATGAGACTCATCATGTGAACAATAAAGCCTATTGACACAAGTAGACATATGCATTTTTTACTTACCTATGTTGCCAGCAAAGAAGTTAAAAGCTCACACTTTTGCAACTCAAGGACATTTCTTAGCTGGAAAAACGTGCACAGAAGAGCAGAACCCAAGTCACTAGAACAGAAGTAGCCGTTTCTTGATGTCATAAATACAGATCAACAGATCATCTTCCACGCTAACCTAGGCTAATCAGAGAAATAAAATTAAAAAAATCTTCACTTGAATTGGAGTGATAGAAAGTTTAAAGTGTAACCTTTATGTTGGTTCATGTCGAGGGAATTATCAATTCTAATTAGGAAAAAACAAACCCAGGAAATTAAATTAAAGAAGAGAGGGAGGCATATGAATCTTCACCAAAGAAACCAAAAATGAGGAAGAGCCAGAGACCGGTGTGTTTGAGGGTGTAAGAGAGATATATTTATGTTGGGGGGCAATTCTGAGAAGAAAATAAAAGTCCGGCTTCTTTAGTTATTTAAATTTTAGTGCAAATCCAAGAAGAAAAACGGCGTCGTACGATAAACCCTGCGAATTCGTCTCTTTTTTTTTTTTTTTTTTTTGTTGACCTGAAACTTGCGGAGAAGAAGAAGTTGCAGAGAGAGAGATCGGATGGGAATAATCAAGAGCTGCTTCTCCCTCCTTGTGGGTACAGCTTTCGGCGTTTACTTGGCCCAGAACTACAACGTCCCCAATATCAGAAAGCTCACCAACACCAGTCTCGTCGTCGCCAAGCACATCGAGGAGAACTATCGCAAGCCCAAAAAGGACGACGCCGAATGATTCGGTACATACCAATCTCTTGTAGAATCTTCATTTCTCCTTTTAAACTTCTTAAAAATTTGAACTTTTAGGGTTTCTCAGATCACTTGGTTTGGGAATTGAGAAAATTGGATCGTGATCATTCATTTTGCATATTGAATTTAGTGTTTCTCTGTTGATTTAGGAGTGAATTAGAGTGAGACTAATAATGTTAATGTTGCGGGATTTCAAGGTTTGCTCATTATGCTCTCTGATCAGGAATCTCGTTGTAGGCTAAAAATTAGAAATGCAAGAGCTTTGGTTTAACAATGTTCTCTCTCTCTCTGTAACCCAATCAGTTTCATTTTTTTATTTGGAAGTGTCAGTGTTTTAATGTGTTGTAGTTCTCCAGTGTGAAGGTGATCTGTAGAGAGGGAAGAATGGAGGTGGTGCAAGGCATAGTTGGCTTTCTCTCTCAACACATATTACAGAGATTTGATTTCACTAGGAAGTTAATTGATTAACTAAGAAGGTTTTGATGTATTTTGACATGTTCTGGATCCAATGAAGTAAATCAGTTTGGCCTGGTGGATTTTTGCTTGTATTTCTGTAATCACTGACACTAAACTGACTAAACAGAGCTCTGTAATAAGCATTACTCATTGTTTCTTTGTCAAGATATGTATAATAAGAGTATCTACACTTGATATACCGAAAAAGCATTCGTATCTCCTTGTGAAGCTCTTCTTCTTCTGCTGAGAGAATCAAGAATTTTGATTTCGTAGTCCGTTTATAGACAAGAATTTCCGATGGCCATGGTGGATCAGAAGAGGACTTTGCAAAGGATGTCAAATTTCTATAGAGAGATGTACCTCCTCTACGCTTGCTATGTTCATTACAATCTCTCATGATACAGTGCCATGTCTTTCTTAGAGAAAAGAATACTACTTGTTCATTTGTAGGGTTTGTTGTCAATAGATAATATTGAAGTAATTAGTATACCAAAAAAAGTAAGGTATACAATGCAACCCGCATGATCATTTCAATGGTGGCCTGAACATGTTTTGACCTTTTCTCTTCTCGTTCAAATTGAAATTAATACTATCATTACCAACTAATGGTGGCTTTAACATGTTATAATACTCACATCTGACTCGGTCCATCTGCTCATTGGCAACTGCTATTTCTTATCTCAATTTTCTTCTTTAAATTATTATTTTTTAAAAACAAAAATTAAAGTCGTTTCACCTCGACGTGAATGTTTGTTATGTAAGCAAATAGTTATTTACCCACTACTTGTTACTGTTTAAAAACAACCATTTGTTTCCATGGTTTGTTCACTTTGGTTTAATCATAAATTTTTAGTTTATTGCATATTATTATATACGGATTATGGCCTTATGGGTGAAACGTGTAAGGATGGGAGTTCTCAATAAAATAGTGTACAACAAATTGAATCTCTTCTCGCATACGTACAAAACATACATTCCTTTCTCAAAGCCTCCATGTCTAATCAACCATAAACCCAAAAAATATATATAAAAAAAAAAACAGAACTCTACATACACAAATTATATATAGATATATACATTTACAGCAACCCGGCGTCGTGGCTCTGTCGTCCGACGGAAATGAAGGAGCCGATGATGCGGCGGCGCACCCTCATGCTCTGTGAGGAACTCTCACTTCCATCGGTACGTTTTTATATTTACTCTTCAATTCTTTCTTTCTTTTTTTTTTTAGTTATATTTGTATCAAATCATTTCATGCATCTTCAATCTTGTTTTCTTTTTTCCAATTTCAAAGTTCTCTTGTTTTTTTTTTTTTCTTTTTAAATTGAACGATTGTCTTAATAAAGGAAAACAGTTTGAGTGCTTGAGTCATAGAAATTTTGTTGAGAAAAACCATGGGTTGTTGTTCGATCATCTACATTAACTACAATAAAAATGCTAACGGTGTTGCACACTCATACATTTTATGTTTTTTTGTCCCATTCTATATAGCTCTCCCTTTTTGTTTTTTTGTTTTAATTCTTCTTATTATAAATCCTCTCTGTTTGTCAATAAATGTGTGGTTTTAAGGTAGTTTTTGACAATTTCAATATAATTAAACAATATCTAACTATCAATACTTAAAATGCAAGCTTGAAAATAATTTTTGGAGTCAACTTCTGTTTGAGAAGTATAATGAGTTACTTTGCACCCGAAAATCCCAATGAGACATTTATTTATTGTTTCTTTTTAATTTAATCATAAAGTCGTAAGACATCATGAAATGTATATGCGAAGCAAAATATTAACATGGAGAACAAAAAACAGTTTCAAATCATAGTGATAAACGCAGATGTGGGATGTGTCCGTTGTCAAGACAGAGTCTCTAAGATTGTCTCCAAGATGACCGGTGAGCTCTCTCTACTTACCACCACAATATGTTTTCATGTATTAATGTGTTTATAAAACGGGATATACAAACTAATTATTGACTAAACCCGCAAAGCAACTTGCTATATAAATATTTTTTTTTTATTATGCTAATTTCTTGGCTGCTACCTACCGCTTACCATCGTCCTTATTCGCCCTTAAGATGTAATAAACATCCACGATCTTTTGTTTAATCCTATTTGTCATGATCGATTCTTTATGATCAAGTTTATTGATTTAAATAATGAGAGAGAAAGTATAACTAAGTACGTATTTGACCAGATAAATGGGATTTGACAGGGATAGAAGAATACGTGGTTGATGTAAAGAAGAAGCTGGTCATGGCACGAGGTGACTTTAAACCGCGTTTGATTTCTCATCAGCAACAAGTCAAGGGCGTCGTCTCTCAAACTCTGTTCCAAGACGCCAAACGCTTTTTTCGGTCTCTAAACCTCTTCCTTCGCTCAATTTTCTCCCTTTGTTTATGTCCAAGTACATTTTAAATTCTATCACTTACTACAAAACTCATTACAGTGATTAATATTGGGACAAAGTAACTAATATCCAAGGTGATTATTTTTGTGGTATGTCCTAAGCTAGTAAGTACAGTACAACCTCTATAAATTAATACTCGATAAATTAATAATCACTATAAATTAATAAATTTTGCTGATCCCAAGTCGGATCAATGTAAAAATCCATCAAATTCGATAAGATAATAAGATAATAATTTTTTTAAAAACCCTTATGTAAATATATGGTCCCAACAAAAATATAAATTAATAATTATATAAATTTATGCAAATGTATGTAAATATAATATTCTAAAATATGACTTATATGTTTGTTTTTACTTAAAGTTGAAATGTCATTGGTTCTCATCTCTCTAATTATTATATCAGTAGCTCTTATTGCTGTTTTACTATATACAATCAAAATTTATGATAATATTTTATGTGATAATTGATTTTCTTACCTGTAAATATTACTGGTAATAATCATGGTTTTTTTATAAATTTTAAACTTATAAACATGTATATTTTTATATGGAAAATATAATATGGTGTTCAAAACTATTTTATTATGATAGTTATGATTTTTAATTATAATTTATATTATGAGATTTGTTAAAATTTTAAAATATAACATTATTCCAAAAAAAAGTTTTAAAAAATTATATGAGAAAAAAAAATTTTTGCTATAAATTAATATCACGATAAATTAATAAAATATCATAGTCTCAACATTACTAATTTATAGAGGTTTTACTGTATGTCTCATAAATTCTAATGGCCAATTTTTTTAAAAATGTTTCTTTTAAACTTCAACAATAAACATGTGACCTTCAAATTATAGTACGAAATATTTTTTTGTAAAATAAACTTTAAAGCGTATTTTATTAAAATAACACAGCCCTGATCACTAGCCTTCTTGTGGTATAATCAGCTCTTCAGAGTCACCAACATTGACCTCAAATGTATGAGAATGGTAAGTATACGCAACGTATAACTGCTTAGGTTGGCCGGGACATGGATCGCAAAAGCCCATGATCCCTGATTTCTTCACTCCTTCATGGAGCTTGAGCTCCCCAGAGTCACTCACAAGGAAGTTCATGGGTACTGTCACGTCAATGATTCCCGAATCCACTTCTTCTTCTTCGTGTTCGTTTTCGTGTCTTTTCTCTATGGCTTTTGGGTCACCATACAACGCTTTCGTTACAATGAGCCCGCCTATTTCAGCTTGCCGGTTTCTCTTCCTCGTAGCTACGTTTTGCAGCAATTGCTGGGCTTTCTCAGCAGCTGCCCTTGCTTCCCGAACCTAGGCCCACATATAAACTTCATATTAAGATGTCTACCATAAAACCAAAAGGAATCTCGCTTGGCTACCAAACTCGTAAGCAATCATCACCTGGCCATAAGTTTTCTCCATATTCTCCAATGCCTTTCGTTTTTCTCTTTTATGCAAATATGGTTTCACCACAAATTTCTGGGTGGAAAATTCAAAAATTCTAAATAAGGCAAACGCTTTATAACTATGGAGTAATAGAAGATATTTAGAGGGTCCAATCACTCACCTTTAACAAAAAGTAAAGGGATGTTGGAACAACGAATGCTCCAGTTGCAAGTACTGGACTTAAATATGAGGAGAGCAGAATCTGCACGTTTTTAAAGATAATCATCATGGATTTGTTAAGGTGTCAAAAGAGAAAGACTTCCTCAGGGGAACAGTGTAACACAGATGGTTTTTTTCCAGAATTTCATTGGGCAAGGGTTTGGGAGAGTTCTGGATGATGCTAGCTCTAGTACCATCCGTAGGTTCTTTTGATTGTGTTTTATTCATCATATATTCTACTCAAAATCTCACAGATGACACCACACGAAAAAGAAGAAAAAAGGGAACACTCACAGGAACAATCAGCTTTTGACCACCACGGTGTAGCTCTAGTTTCCAAAAAACACCCTACAACAAAAAAATATTAAGTACCAGAAATCAGCAAATTTCATGATAACTAAAATGGCTCTGAAAGTTTTAAAGATAAGTTTACCTTGAGTCCTATTGTATACATCATTCTAACGGTACTGAACTCAGAAATCTTCCTTCCTCCACCGACCTCAATCTCAAGAGCATTGCTGAAAAGGTTAAAAAGATTTATCCAAATTCAAATGAGAACATAAACTGAGCCATTCATGTAAATATATTTATCAAAAGGTTTCCATCCTCTTGCACATCACCCAATAGGTTACTCAGGATTATCTGTCAATACATACCTTCCAATTCTACCTACAACGCGACCATGAGATTTGGATGAAAGTCTACGAGTATAACGCGCTGATGCTCCGAGTCCACCAGTCTCAATCTGGTAATACCAAAATCATAACTAGAGAAAGTAAGAGCGATGGTCAAGGTGGAACAGTAAGAATGAAAGTTGGCAGTCAGCGTACCTTCAGGTCAGCACCAGCAGATACATTCTCGTCTTTCTTTTTCCATCCGACTGTAATCCCTGATCGTATACCCAGTGCCAGTTCAATCTGGAAGAAAGAAACTATTTAAAAGTCGAGAAAACTGCTTTCTCTCCCTCTTAGAAGATCAATCAAAACCATTACAGAGAGAACTTACATTTCCGCTTGAAGTTTCTGAAAGCTGTCGAGTCCACGTGTTGGTAAGATTAATGGAACCATCACTCAAAGACTTTGCAATATTGATAGTGGCAGTTGAATGTATGGACAACTGACTGCCCCGACAAGGAACCCATAAAGCGTCAGCTAAACCATTACATATGTCCAGAAATATATTAACCGGAAAACTCATGAGCTTACCGTGTTGTCTGTATTCCAATAAGGGACTGCAAACCCGTTGAAGCGACAAACTCTATGGATGACACTGGAGAAAGCTGACGTCTCAGAATGGCAGTAGCAATTCCGCCACCAGACTTTTCATTGGCCTCCAAATTTCCGCCAATGGCAAGAGCATCATCTTTTGATAACTGAGACTGCACTTGACTAGCCATAACCATTCTGACAGTTCCAGAAGCAAGTACAAAAAAAAGGGCAACCAAAAATCACTTCTATGGAAAGAAATGAAATGTTAAAATGAGATTCACGAGGGTCAAGGTTAGTGTAGAGCACCCAAAGATCGTATCTTTTCTCAATAACCATTTCCTAAAGAGATAATCTAGGCTAGCAAGTATCTCCTAGGTCGATTTGAGCACCCAAATCAAGAACAATGCTACCAAAATGACATTAAGAACTTGGGAAGAACAGGAAAATAAAGTACCCTCGCATGATGCCATCACCGTCTAAGAAATCTGGCAGAGACAGATTGCAGAGAATTGAACCGGTGGGTAGAAGATGTGCCATCTTCTTAGCTTCTTCGTTTCTCCTCTTAATCCTTTCAAGCTCTTCTTTGATCTCATCGGCCTTACTCAGCCTGGGACCAAGCTCCAATCCTGAAGTCAAGCCTTCCATGCCATATAAGTCATATATTAGCCTCTTCGTTTCATCAGACAATATCTCGTAAGCTTCACATATGCGCTGGAAGTTCTCAGTAGCAACTTCCTTCATCTGAACCAGAAATTTGAAATCAGCCCACAAAAAAAAAGTTAATCTTTTTCGTAAATTAGCCAAATTGATATCAACAACACACGAAGAGGATGATCAGAAGCGAGTGGTTGATCAAAGAATAACGATAAGCATAAATCGATAAAAGTGTACACAAAACCTGAGGAGATTGATACTTATCGGGGTGATACACTTGAGCCCATTGACGATAAGATTTCCTAATTTCTTCGTCGGAGGCCTCTGGAGACAAATTCAGCAGCGCGTAGAGTTCTCTGTTCTGCGGCCCGGTCGGTGATGATTCCTCGCCCCTCATTGCATAAAATCAATCGCTAGTGGCGCTTGAATCTCGATAGCGACAATCAAATCAACACTTGGAAGGGATAAGAAAATAGAAATTCCGGCGTGTGGGAGCTCGAATTCGCCGGAGGGTTTTAGGGGTTTTGCGGCGGGGATTTGGGAGGGGGTTTTGACGCCGCTGCTCTCGGCTAAGCTTGCTTTGACCTTTGCTTGAATCCCAAGTCCATTCTCTTTCTATTTTCATCCCCAATATCTCGTAGTATTTTACTTTCAACATCTTATTTTATAAATTGCTCGATTGAACCCTAATAGTCGAGTAGGCCAACTGGCTCATATGTTAAATGGGCCTTTAGGTTGAAATATCACAACATTAGACGTTAATATTGTTGAGAGAAAAACATTTCTAAGAAACATTGTGGTTAACTTGGTTACTATTTATTGCTAGTCATCATGTGGAACCTTTAAATTACAAAATTTGTAGGTCACTCACATCCATTTTTTGTTCGCACCTCTTTACCTTATATTGTCCTAATTCTGGAGTGAACAAACATATTTTCCCAACTATACTAACAGAGCATTTTTTTTTTCATAATTATCAAAAGCTCTTTCTGTTTAATGCTTTTATAATAGCCAAAATTGATCTATGGCCTAAACTCCGATTAATCTCCAAAATATGTGCAAACCAAATATATAGTAATTAAAAAAAAAAAAAACTTGATCATTGATGTTGACCGACATGTTGAATCCTCTCTATCTACTCGAACAAGCCATTTTGAATAAGTCGATAACTTGTTTTTTGTGTTTATTACTTGGCCTCCACAATCAGTCGATAACCCTTATTTAAATTTCTAAGTATGTCATTAAAATTTATAAGAAAAAACGATTATTTTCAATATACTATATTATCTTCCAGTTTGTAGGTTAAAATATTACATACTACCCTTCAAGTTTATATTTTGATTAACAAATTTTGAAAAATAGATATGTGAATCCGAACGTAAATAAAACTGTGATTTGGGTTAATCATTTCAATTTAATAATAGAGTCATTATCTTATCATATGTAGCTTGGTAAACAAATTTTCAACGTATGCTATAATTTATATTCGGTCAGCTGAAATGTAAATACCTATGTATAAGTCAACACACGACGAGGCACTTGGTGGGTGTAACTTGTAAGCATCTCAGAGACCATTTCAGACATTATGGAATGGAACTGACACGGTTTCACAC